AAACATGCTTATACTTGCAGAAAACCACATTCTGAGAATGACCACATAATGTGACAACCCTGAAGCCAGCCAATCAGAAAACAGGTCAAAAAACAATGGTGTCCTTGTGGTTACTAAAACAATTACCTGTTATCATTATGGTTACAAAAATAGTTACTCCAGATGGTCACAGCTTGCCTCTAACCAGTCACTATGTAACAAGCCTGCTCTTGCTGAATGTCTCTCAGTCCTGTAAGTGCCAAGTCTAGAAGTGTCTTCTGCTTGTAAAAACCCTATAAAACCTAGTTGTTGTGTTTTTCCCCCCCAGGTTTGGGGTTCCTAGCCTCTGATTGATTCTGGGAATCTCAGCTTAACCCCGAATAGATGCTCTTTGCTTTTGCATACGATTTCTGACTCATGGTGTTGGTGGTGGTCTTTTGGGGGCCTAACATCTTGGGGGCTCATCTGAGATCCCCAAGACCCCCACCAGGACCCCTGTGCCCCACCTGCGGGACTAGTAATTCTCGTGGGTCTCAAAGAGAACCAAGCCTAAAAGAAAAACGGGCGAGAGAGAGGAAGGGACCAAGCAGTATCCTTGTCAAAGTCCGTTTATTGTAGGGCAAAGCTTTACTTTTATGCTCAAAGAATAAGGAAGTAAAATAGGAGGGAGAGGGGCAGGAGGCTATCTCGGGAGTCATTGAGGCATTCCAAGGTTTTAACATTAACTGTTAAAACCGGTCAGGTGGGGGGTGGTTCCCGGTCTCAGGAAGCAATCTTCCCAGGTGGTCAAAGCTGATTGCAGACCCTGGTGCCAGCATCCGTCCTGACTGCATGCCTGGGATTCTCCCCCCCCCCCCCCCCCCCCCCGCACCCCTGAATCATTGAGCCTGTCTCTCGGCCAGTGTCTGAATGTTTGTCTTGTCTTTGGCGTTTGTTCTTAAGGGAAGGGCCCGTTTCTGGTGTGGCCAGCATTGACCTAAGCATTGGTCTGTGGTCTTGGAAGACGTTTGAGACCCTAATCTGATAGTAGGGGAAGGGATACCGTTGCAGCCTGTGGGAAGACGGTGTGGATTGTGCTTGGTGTCTTACTTTCGGTTTTTCCTCTGAATGCAAAGAGGGCAACTGATTGCATTTTGTGTCTGGTTGTTTTATTTGTTACACTTATGTGTTATGCGATCGGACAGACTATGACTATACCACTCTCTCTCTTGTGGTATACACAAGAAGTCAGGGAACGCTCACAATCTGAGCATGGAAAGGAAAACTCATAACTTCGCAGCTCTGAATAGCCCACATTTAACGTGGATGGCCAGCTGAGGGGATGTTTAACTTCGACAATGCTGGAGAGTTAAAAAGATCACCTCCCCCACCCCCTCTACACAGGCCGCCCAGATCAGGTCGCGAATATTGCAGTTTGATAGAATGCCCCTTACCCTGGACTCAGCCCTTGACATCCTCAGAAACAGCTCCAGCAGACTGTTCTTTCGGTATGAGAGAAGGAACCTGGAGAGGAGAAAATGAAACGGAACCTTCACTCCGCTTTACCCAATCCTCCAGGGTGCACAGAAGAAGACCTTCCCTTTCCCCCTCCCCATCAACCCTTCCCAAGTCCTAATCCACAGCCCCAAGCCCGGCAGAAGGCGACCACCAACCCCCAGCTCAGGGTGGGTCAGATCCAGAGAATGAGGAGGCAAGGAGCAGCAGCCCCAGACCACGCGAGCCTTCGGGGGTTCCTCTCTGTGCAGTGGAGGACGATGAGGTCAGGCACCCTCTACCGGGCCTGCCGATCTACTCTCCACCACTCCGGGAGGAGGCTGAGGCGCCCCGCCCCACAGGCCCGAGGGTGGAATCGGGAGCAGCAGGGAACCAGGAGCAGAAAGGGGGGCTTCGCCAGAGGGTCCAGTCCCCCCGTCCTGCCCTTGAGGGCGGCTGGCAGGGTGGACGAACCTGAAACAGTCTCATCAGTACCGGCCCTTGGCCACTGGTGATCTTTATTATAATTGGAGGTCTCAGAATGCTCCTTTCTCTGAGAACCCCAAAGACCTTAGTAGCTTGTTAGAAACTGTCCTATTTCCCCATCCACCCACGTGGGATGATTGTCAGCAGTTATGGCAGGTGCCCTTGACCTCAGAAGAGAGGGAACGTATCCAGGAAGCCGGGAACCACCAGAGTCCCTGGCACTGATTAGGTGCAGACTGAGGCTGGATTTCCCCTGACCAGATCCACGTGGGATTAGAAGACCGCTGAAGGGAGGCTTCTGGTCACCGCCGGTCTGCTGGCCGCTCTCACGGTGGCTGCTCGCTGGCCGACCCATCTGTCTCAGGTGCTACGGTATTAGTCAGGGAACGGAGCGAATCATGGAGGCCTTCCGCAGGTGTGCTCCACCTGACCCTGAAGCCAGAGACGACATAGCGGCTGTGGCAATGTCCTTCGTCAACCAGCCTGCCCCAGCCCGCCGCAGGCATTAAGAGAAAGCTCTAGGAGAAAAGAGTTTGAGAGTTTTAGTGACTGTGGCAGAGAAAGTGAGCAACAGCAGGGTCGGTGCAGAGGAGAGACGGATCAAGGCCGAGAAATGGCAGAACAGAGCTTTGGTCACCATGGACCCAGAGGACAGCTGGAGGCGTCTGAGGCATCTGGAGGAGAAAGAAGGAATTTCAGAGAGAAGGATGTCCAGTGCACATATTGCAAAGAAGAAGGTCAATGGGCAAGGGAGGAGTGCCCCCAAAAGAGGGCCCCCAAGGTACTCAACCTCAGGGCTGAAGGTAGTGACTCTAGGGTAACCCTAAAAGTGGAGGGGAAACCCACCAGCTTCTTGGTGGACACAGGAGCCCAACACTCAGTGCTCCTCCAACTGGAAGGCCCCCTTTCAGACAAAATATCATGGATTCCAGGGGCCGCCAGAATGAAACAAAACCCACGGACTACCCAAAGGATGGTGGTCTTAGGAAGGGGCTGGGTATCCCATTCTTTTACGGCCATTCCAGAATGCCCATATCCCTTGCTGGGGCAGGACCTGTTGGCTAAGTTGGGAATCCAGATACACCTCAGCAGAGGGCACCGAGTACTGGATAAGACAGGGGAGCCCGTCCACGTGTTGACCACCACCTTAGTGGATGAATCGTCTGTATGAACCTGCCCTGACACCAGGCTCGGCCATCGAGTCCTGGCTAGAGACATTTCCCTCAGCATGGGCTGAGATAGGAGGACTGGGATTGGCCCAAAACAGGTCCCTGATCTCTGTGGAGCTCAAACCAGGGGCTGATCCGGCCAGAGCCTGCCAGTATCCAATGTCTCTGCAGCAAGACGGGCATCACTCCCCACATCAGGAGACTGTTGGACCTGGGGCTCTTAAGGCCATGCCAGTCAGCACCCCCACCCACTGCCAGTAAAGAAGCCCCACTTCAGCGACTATAGGCCGGCGCAAGATCTGCGAGAAGTAAACAAGCGTGTAATGGACATCCACCCTACAGTGCTCATCTAATAGGTGACTTAAAACTTATCCTGTCTTCAGGAAAACATGCTTATACTTGTAGAAAACCACAACATTTCTGAGAATGACCCCAAAATGTGCCAACCCTGCAAATGTTGTAGCCTGTTCTCGAGACCCCCAAAAGACCACCAGGAATCAAGTCTGTTGCAAAACACGAGAGAGTTTTATTGCAAGCTTGATCCTGGGCTGCAAGCCACCTTCCAACAAAGAGGCAAGTGACCCCTTGCTCTGAGAGAGCAGGGTTTTTAAGGGAAAAACCACAAGAAGGGAAGTACAAGCCTTGGTGTTACAGGATTGGGTAAGAGAGTCTAGGGAAACTGACCTTTAAAATGGTTGGTCTGTTTTAGGCGCCAAGACAGCAAGCGGTCAGGCCTGGCCACCTGGGGGACATCTGATAGTGAGTAATGTCCTGTTACTTGCAGATTAGGCTGTAGCGAGGGAGGAAGAATGATTTAGCACATCCTCTGGTTTCTTTTAGGAGCAGGGCTACTGTTATACCCAGTTCTCGAGCCCCCAAAAGATCTACAGGAAATGACTCCGTTGCAAAACACATGAGGGTCTTTTTATTGTAAATTACAAGCTGCAGCTTGGGCCCATACAGCCCAACCGCCAAAGTGGTGGGAGCTGAGCGCGCATGCCCAGGTTAGTTGGGTGATTTATAGATTCTGTTCCATCCCAGCATGCTCAAGGCAGGGGCGATTCCTGCCTGGCAAGCATCTATTGGTCAAAATGCTACACTTTGAATTGATTGGCTAATTGAAGGTCCTCAGACCATAATGACCTGGTGTCCCTCCCTAGAGGGATGGGCCAGTTTCCTAGCAACTGCTATCTCTAGTAGCTGGGGAAAGAATGCAGTAAGGCTGTCCTTCCCCTCAGGGCATTATTAGACTTCTCCACCCACATAGTTCAGGCCTTAACTAATAGCTGCTAATTTTTAATCTTTTTGGTCTCTCATTACCTGTCTCCAGTCACACCCTGAGGTTATCCAGGCGGGGGACTGCTGACCATCTGGTCTGGTTACTAAGTGCCGCTGGTTGGGTGGGTCTGCTTTATCTTGCCTATTTCTTTGCCTATGATCCTGCTACCAGGACCCTAGTTATATTGCCCTGGGAATTTAAAACTTTAAATTTTCGGGGTCTCACAAACCAGCCAATCAGAAAACAGGTCAAAATGACCTGTGTCCTTATGGCTACTAAAACAATTATATGTTGCCATTATGGTTACCAAAGTAGTTACTCCAGATGCTCACAGCTTGTCTCTAACCAGTCACTAGTAACGAGCCTGCTCTTGCCGAATGTCCCTCAGTCCTGTAACTGCCAAGTCCGGAAGCGCCTTCCTCTCGCGAAAAACCCTACAAAACCTAGCTTTTTTCCAGGCTCAGGGCTCCTAGCCGCTGACTGCCCGAATAAAGGAATAAAGGTTCTTTACTTCTGCCTACAATTTCTGACTCCTGGTGTTGGCGGTGGTCTTTGGGGGCCCTGGGATGGGCCAGGCCGAATCGGGGCGGAGAGCAGCCGAGACGGCCTTCCTCCGGGCTTCCTAGAGCGCCCGCGGAAGCCGTACTTCCGCCGTCCTAGAGCGGCCGCGCGGGCGCGGAGCCGGAGGGCCGCCGCCGTCCTGCGGGGCGCGAGGCTGCGTCGTCAGCGGGTGAGCGAGCGGGCGCGGGGGCGGGCGCGGGCGGCGGGCCTCACCCCGCGGCGGCGTCCCGAGCTCTCCCGGACGCGCGGGCGGGCGGAGCGGGCGGCTCGCGGCCTCCCAGACCCCAAGTGCCGCGTCCGCCATTACGACTCTTGGCGTCCGACTCCCGATGGGAGCTCGGCGGGTCGCCGCCCGGTTAATTGTGCGGGTCGCTCATGCTGTTCCCCTAAAGAGGGTGGAAAAGCTCGTTGCACGGCCGTGGTGTAAAGCGGCGTCTGGTGGCCTCACCTGGAGCCCCCGCTGCTGCGGAAGCGGAGGCAGGCAGACCGGTGCTTGGCAACTTAATGAGCCTTTCTCTCCAATTTTAAAGCAGAAGAGATGTTTCATAAGCTTAAAAAGCGAGTTTGAAACTAAGCTTTGATGCGCACTTGAAAAGTGAAAAGTGCTCACAGCCCTGGCCTCATTTTCTTCTTCCTCCTCCCTTTTTTTCCCCCGAGACAGACTTTCTCTGTGTGGCCTTGGCTGGAACTCACTCTGTAGACCAGGCCGGCCTTGAAGTCAGGGCTATCTGCTTCTGCCTCCTGAGTGCTGGAATTAAAGCTGTGCACCACCGCTGCCCGCCCAGATCCTCCAACTTTATGTGGTTTCTAGAATCCAGGAAATACTAGTTTATAAACGTTGTGTGACAGTAAGATGATAGGAAGGAAATGAACTGACGTGAACGGATCCCCATGCAGCTTTTTAGCTGGCTCCATCTTGTGAGCGTCACTTTAGCGCCCCGCAGCCAGGCTGAGCCTCATTCTTGACCAGGAGTGCATTGTTCTAATTAACTGAGCATTGAAAACCTATGTCATAGAGACTTTGAAACTAATGCCACCGGTTCTGGTCCTGGTGTCATGCAATTGTGAGTTTTGGTATTATTAGCCCTAACTTGTATCTCTGCTGACTGGAGGATCTCACGGATACATCTGCTGGCCTGGAAGTTGGCACGTAGGCCAGTCTAGCCTCACACTCATAGACTTGCACCTATTTCCGCTCCCGAGTGTTGGGATTAAAGGTGTGTGTCTCCACACCCGGTCTACATCTTCCTTTTGTTTGAGTATGTGTATGCATGTGGCAGTGAGCATGGGGGTGGTGGGGTGGGGGAATTGGAAGACAGCTTGTCTCTCTCTTGCTGTGTTCGTTCTCTGACTGAACTGCAGCCTTGACTAGATAACTTTACCCTGTGGGCCATACTATCTGCCCTTCCTGCTCTGTTCATTTTCCTATGTAGTGCAGGTCACTAACAGGCAGAGCATACCATTAAGACCTTGACCAAATTATTATTTTAAAACAGGGTTTCTCTGTGTAGCCTTGGCTGTCTTGGACTCACTTTGTAAACCAGGCTGGCCTTAAACTCACAGAGATCCGCTTGCCTCTGCCTCCCTGAGTGCTGGGATTACAGGCGTGTACCACAGTGCTCGGCCTGACAAAGTTCTTTCTAAATTTTATTGTAGTGTGTAAATGTTTAGTTTGCATGTGTGTGTATACACCGTGTTGTGCCTGGTGCTTGTGGAGCCAGAAGAGGGTGTCAGATCCCTTAGGTCTGCAGTTATAGACAGTTGTGAGCTGCCAGGTGGGCACAGGGATTTGAACTAGGGTCCTCTGGAAGGAGCAGCCAGTGCTCTTCACCACCACCCATCTCTCCAGGCCTGACGACATGCTCTTTTTTGGAAGTATTTTGCTATTTTAGAATGTTCTTGAATCTGATGTTTGCTTAGATAAAGGTTGATGTGTCCTTGTTACTGGCAGTTTCACCACTTTAAAATTTCTGTGTTTAACTTTGTAATTTGTACTCTTTCTCGGGAAAGAATTTGGAATGTTTCTCCTTAATGTTTGCTTCCTGATTAGCATCTTTCCTGTAGCAGAGAGTTCCTTTCATTTTCTCTTACAATTCTTATTAGGAGGAAGCTCTACTTTGGCGACTTTGAGATAGTCTCACATAGCCTTGATGGCTTGGAACTTGCTTTATTGTCTTACTTCCAAGTCACCAAGCTCTGCTCTCCTCTGTGTCCTGAGTGATGGGATTAAAGGCACGCCACTGTGCTGGCTTGCGTGGGTGAGCTTTAAAAATGTGGTCAGTTTATATCAGTGTGAATTTCTGACCCCACTGCTTTGTTTTTGTCCCATTTTGAAACAGTCTAATGTGCCCAGCTCAACCTGGCCTTGAATTTCTATCTTCTTGCCTCCACTTCCCAAGTGCTGGGATAATAGACATTCATCACCATGCCTGGCCTTTTGTTTTAAAATTTTATTATTCGTGTGTGTATGCACAGTGCGTTGTGGGCGTGGGTCATTTCTCCCCACCTTTATATGGGAACTCAGGTTGCTGGTGAGGCAGATGCTTCTACCTGCTGAACTACCTGCCCCTGCCCCTGCTTTAGTGTATAATTTCACTGATTTTCTGATACTGCAAAAACACTTGTGTTTTCTCTGTGTGGCATGTCATTAACACTGTACTTCACAGTGTAGAGAAATTTTAATTCAGAACATGCCTGATCTGGCAAGAGATCACATCCAAAGACCTTCTAGGTCTGTGGGATGCTTTTAATTCAGGAGATCTGAATTCAAGGCTAGCATGGTATAGAGCAAGTTTCGGGTAAAGAAAAGTTAGTCCAGGTGTGGTGGTACACGCCTTTAACCCCAAACAATGAAGGTAAAGTTAGCTTGTAGAAGGACACCCGTGTTTGAAAGCGATGTCTTATTGAGTGGCAGAAACAGTGACGAATTAGAGAAGATTTGACAAAATAGGACATGTCCAACTCTCATGAGGAGAGAGGAAAGGAAGGCCACTTAAAGGGCTATGAGAGAGAGAGACAGGAGGCAGTTTTACCAGGACAGTAATAGAGAGACAGGTTGCACAAAGAGAACTCAGGTAAAGACAGAACGAGCCAGAGAATGAGGAGCCAGGAGATTAGAGCAGATTGCTGGAGTTAGTTTGAGACCAAGCAGAGCAACTTTGGGGCTGAGAGAAAAGTCACTTTGAATAAGTGGGAGAAGAGTTTGAGCTGGAACAGCTGAGTTGACCAGCCAGCTCTGAGCCCAGAAAGAGAGTTTACTCAGCAGTAAGTCTCAGAGGCTGAAAACATTCTAGGCCTAGGTTAGATTTTTCTGGAGGCTAGAAGCGTCCAGGACTAGGCCTAGGTTAACAGACAGAGGCAGTATGCCTCCGAGACAACAATTGAAGCAGGTAAATAAAAGTTCCTTAACATCACAGAGTCCTTGTTCCTTTAGTGGAGACGGTATTTAGAAACCAAGTTCTGGACATTCTGGGTGTGATCATGATCATGATCATCTTATTCTAGACTTTGTGTGATTGAGTGTATGCAAACGTGTATTTGCGGTTATGTGTTTATATGTACACACAGAGTTTAGAACAGTGAGCCTTCAGAGCTGGCACGATGCCTGCTTGTTAGGTAGGTGCTGGGATCAGAACTTCAGTCCTCATAATTGTGTCCCAAGTACTCTTAACACCTGAGGCATTTCTCCAGCCCCGTATAATCTCACTTCTTAGTTGCTGCATCAATTTCAATATTATTTAAAAAAACCTTAATGATGTAACTAAAGCAGTCTGTGAAGGCTCTACCTCCTACAGATTTTGCCTTCCATATATATTTTTCCTTAATCTCTATGTTTGTTCTCTACCAATACACATTGGCTTGATTTCTGAAGCTATCTGTGTAGCTATACGTCTTGAAATCAAGTAGAGTGGTCTTACAAGACGGATAAGTGGGTAAAAGCACCTGAGCTTGGTCCTTGGATCTCATATGGCCGGAGAGTAGTTTTCAAAGTAACTTTTAGCTCCTCCCCTTTGCCTTTTGGTGTAAACTGCAGTATCTTCACATAGCTCTCCTGCACGCATCATCTCTGTTCTCTGTGGTTCTGGGGACTTGTGTGTGCTGGGCCATTGCTCCACCACTAACTGCATCCCTAGCCTCCTTCCCTTCCATCTTCCTGAGATTCTGATAGGAATGAAACTAAACATCAGCTTGGTGAGAATTGAAGGTTTTCATGCCATGTGTACCAGTACATGAATGTAATACGCTGTGTCTGTCTCCTTCCTTAGCTGTTCTTTGACCTTTTGTATCTGCCACTTGTGTTTTCTAGCCCTGTGCGCGTCAGAACTTTCTTAGGCTGTGCAGGTGCTCCTGCATGTGTGTGTTCTCACACATCCAGGTGATCCCCACCTGGAGGACATGGCTCTGTCATGTGTGATGGACATCATTTCTTACCTGTTCTCTTTTGAACAAAAATGTGTAGTAACAGTTCTGGAAGTTTGATTTCTTTAAAAAACAGGCAGAGGCAGGTAGATTTGAGTGGGTTTGAGGTGAGCTTCGTCTACAAAGCGAGTCCATGAGAGCCAAGGCTACCCAGAGAAACTGTGTCTCAATAACAAAACAAACAACAAAAACAGAACAAAAGACCCCCCCCTCCAAATAAAAAGGGAAAAAACCCACAGAACTATTATGAGAATGTGTTTTCTTTTTAAATCCCATATGGCTGCTTCGGACTGTCCACAGCAGCTGATTGTGATTTGCTTGTGCTCTAGCAGAGGCCTGGTTTTGCCAGGTGCAGATAATTCCTGTGATTGTTTGACATTTGGAATTCTGGGACCTTTTCAAAGGGTATATAAACGGAAGGGACCCAAGAGGGGGAGGGTTGGTGGTTATCAGGGTGGTTGGTTGCAGTTGGTTAGAGTTGTGCTCGAAGAAGAAACGAGGAAAGAAATTAAATTCAGGGACTTTTCTATTTCCTCTCTGCCTTCTGTCCTTGTTTCTCTTCTGCCTAAGTGTGAGAGGTTGAAGCTGGGGGGAATAAAGGGTGGGAAAAGAAAAACCCTCCAAGTAGTAAAGGACTGGCTACAGAAATGTTGGTGTTTCAATCTCTTTCCAGTGTCTTCAGACAACCTAGCAAATGAGACTGTGCACTGCCGTGCTGAGAAGATACTCCAAGGATACAGCAGTGATTCAGAGAAAGCAGCAGGCTTGCTCTGTGTTCATCTGGGTGACTCTGGGCAGCAGGAATGCCTCCAGGCAGGTGCTATGCTGCCCACTCAGCTCAGGCTTCAAGGCAACAAAGGCACCTTTGCACAGTAAAGAAAGAGGAGGAGGAGGAGGATGACTGTATTTCACTGCAGACTGCCAGGCCGCAGACACTTAACCGCCCTGGCCAGGAGCTATTCCGTCAACTCTTCAGGCAGCTTCGCTACCATGAGTCTTCTGGGCCCCTAGAAACTCTGAGCCGGCTCCAGGAGCTCTGCCGATGGTGGATGAGGCCTGATGTTCTTTCCAAAGCACAGATGTTAGAGCTGCTGGTGCTGGAGCAGTTCCTGAGTATCCTGCCCGGAGAGCTCCGGACATGGGTGCAACTTCATTGCCCTGAGAGTGGTGCGGAGGTTGTGGCCCTGCTGGAAGAAGTGCAGAGGGATCTTGATGGAAAACCACTGTGGGTATGTGGCGCACAGCGCGGTCTGCCTGCCTGTTTGTAGATGAGATAGTCCTTTGAGCTGTGAGTTTGAGAAATGTAGGGGAGCTTCCTTCTGTAAGTCTCTTTGATACTTGCGCATATGAGAGCTGGACTCTGACTGTGGAGCCTTTAGCCAGGACTGTTTCCTCTTATAGACGAAGACTGCCTCCAGAATAGGATCAGCAGGTATTCATAAAGATTTAGCTATGGATGCAGTGCTTTATGTCGTAGGTCTTCACATATGAGCCAGTTTTGCATGGTACTGACTACAGCCTTGAAGAGTGGTGGGGCAGAGGGGAAACTGGAAGGATTTGGGTGGAAGAACAAAAGAGCAGTCTGCATGTACCATGTTTCCTCTTCAGGGGGTTTTTGAGCACAAGGGCTGGGAGGCATCCTTGGGCTGGGAGATTGGAAGATCTCAATCTTAAGCTTTGTCCTTACAGCGTTACTAGTCTCAGAGATAGTACTCTGGGCCTGCCATCAGGGAAGGCAAGGCCCCTCAGATCCAGTCTGTGAGTCAATTGAAAGTCTTTATTTCAGCTGGCTGCTGGCTACATGTGGGTGTTTGGGACCCAGTTGTAGTCCCAAGGGTTTATATTGAATCAAGAAAAGCACATCTTGGCAGGAAGATCCCCAAGGTTTCTTTTTTTTTGAAGTCATAAGCTAAGGAGATAGTTACAAAAGCCAAAATATGCAACTAGCAAAAATGGTGGTCTTGCTGATTTTTGGAAAGAGCCTATATAGTCATTATTCTAGTTCTTTGAAGAGACACCATGATCAAGGCAGCTTTTATAGAGGAAAGTTCTTAACTGGAGGCTTGGTTACAATTTCAGAGGTGTAGTCCATCATCATTGGGTCACATGCAGGTGGGTGCTGGAGCAGTAGTTGAGAGCTATGTCCTGATCCGTAGGTAGAGAGAGACCCAGCCTGGTGTGGGCTTTTGAAACCTCAAACACTACCCCCAGAGACACACCTCCTTCCACAAAGCCACACCTTGTAATTCTTTTAATCCTTTCAAATAGTGCCATTCCTGATGATTAAGCATTTAAGTATATGAGCTGTATCCTTGAGTTGTTTTTTCTTTCTAGAATTATTTTAGTTACTGGCACTTTGTTCAGTAAGACAGATTTTATCTGAGGTACTAAAATGGAGTCACCATAGTCAACTTTTCAGCTCAATTTGAGAAAGAAATGCAGAATGAAGTAATTATGAGCATTTGTTCAGTAACTGTTTGTCCCAGGCCTGTCAGAAGAGGGGCGCTGGGTTGCTTCCTGCATTCTTTAACTCCTTTTGCACACAGAAAACTGGTCCTTTGCCTTTTGAGGTTTTGCTTTTGTTTGTTTTTATTTTTGAGACAGGGGTCTCTACCCCGCTGTCCTGGCAGTCACTTTGTAGAGCAGGCTGGCCTTGAACTTATAGAGCGCCTTTTGCCTCCCAAGTGCTGGGATTAAAGGCCTGTGCCACCACATCTGGCACCTTTTGAGTTTTCTCAAAAACTGTTTATCATTTTTTAGGTTTTCAAAGTTTCTAGAAAACATGAGCCTACTTGCACAGTCCATGCATTGAAAATAACTAATATTTCTGAAGCTTATCCCTCAAATGTATTACAAAAATTAAAGTAAGTTACATTTGATCATAGTCTGTCAGTAGTCAACATAAGTAATGCTTATTAAAGAAAAAAATGTTTTTTAAAAATATCTGAAAGTATATGTATCATTTTTACTACAATGATAAGATAGTTATAGGGACCTGACAGTAATTTATAAAGAGACCTAAGATAGAACATTTACAGGAGTATGTCTTGGTTATGACTCGGTTTATTTAGGGGTAGATATAAGGTTTTAGTTTCTTGTCATGTTCAGTGGCTTCAGTTGAGGGCTGTTCACAGCAGTGTAGAAAAAGTATCAGCCATTGTGCCTGGAAGACTCCTCTAAGTTCATTAACTGAAGTCTTGTGCACTTATCTCTACATTGAGGAAAACCTTGTCTCAGAGACAAAGCTGTTGGACGTCTGAGGGCCAAGCTCTCCTTGCTGTTCTTGCTTGGATGAACAAAGGAGAGTTTTTGTCTGTGGTTTGTTTCTTGGCTGACCCTTAAAGTTAATATTGTCTCTGTAGGGGTGATACTATTTTGTCAGATTTACAGTCTGAAAGCTAGCCTTCTCTGAGGCCACTGTCCATGTCAGTGCTTGTCTGGCCCTGTACTGTAAGCTGCTGTTCATTTTACCTCCTCTCATTTCTCACTGTCAGCCAGGACTCAAGTAGTGTGAGTAGGGAGGTTTCACTGTGGCATGTGAGGGCTACTATTACTGACTTGCCAGACGCACCCTTATGTGAGGGGGGAACCTGTCGGCCTCTGAGAGGCCGAGGGATGCGAAGCTTCTCTTACCTCTCTGCGTCCCTTCTGCCAGGAAGTGATTAGAGGACCTGGTGGCTCAGACCTTTACAGACTGGCCATGTGAGTATTCTCTGAGTTTGCTTTCTATGGGAATGTTCTCATAACATTTTCTTCTTGCCAGGCCCCCTGCCTTGCTCAGAATCCAGATGTGCATTGGATAGGCACTGGAGCTCTGCAGTCGCCACAGATATGGTCCCCTGCTTCACGTCTCAGGAAGGCTTCCGCGCTAGAGGACCACTTGGAGCCTTCACATGGAATAGGAGATTGTGACTTCCTGGCTGGGCAAGCTGGTACTCACGGCCCAGACCCTAGCTTTATGCTCTGTGTCCTGTGTCTCCTATACTGTCAGCTTGTTACCATCTATTCTCTCACAGAATCTTTTGTCATCTAGTTCATGTTCCCTTGGATGCCTCTGAGATTTATGTCTGGTTGGCTTCTTCCATTCCACTCTCCCTTTGCTGGTCCCCAGCAGACCCTGAAGACATGTCTGTGCATCTTGAATAACAGTCTGCCTGCTTGTAGGCCCAGGAATTCTCTAGGAGTGAGGAGAGTAAACTTCATGGGTGTCCACAGCTGGACAACTCTCTTACGGCTCTTTTTTCTTTCAGATTCTCCTGATGTCTCAGTGCCCGCCCATTTCCAGACAGAAGAGGGCATAGGGTACCAGGTAACAGCCAGCAAGCCTTTGGTAATCCAGCTGGTGTCTCTTGCATTGCTGCCTTGTGGGTACTGCAGCTCTTCATCCTGGGTTGTTGTTTAACTTCATAGAGCACAGAGCTATCTGCTCTGTGATGGCCTCTCTGCTTTGCCAAGTTCAAACAGTGTTAACTCTATGTCAGGCCTGTGAGCCTCCTGACAGCTAAGAGCTGTGGATCAACTCTAAGCCATATTCTTTTTGTTTTTTTAATTTTCCCAGGAAGCTTTGACTTTCCAGGATGTGGAGGTGACTTTCTCTCAGGAGGAGTGGGCATGTTTGGACTCAGCTCAGCGCAATATTTATCGGGATGTTATGCTGGAGAATTATGGGAATGTAGTTTCTGTGGGTAAGTCTTTAGTATCCTGGCTACCTCCACTTTTTCCTTTTTTCTTTTTTACTGATTTGTGTGCCTGGATGTGTGTGCATATAGGTGCTTGCATGCCATGGCTCATGTGTCAGAAGACAGGTAACGAGACTGGTTTTTGTCCTTTCTGCCATGTAGAGCCTGTGGATCAAACTCTGGCTAAGCTTGGCTGTAAGTGCCTTTCCCCACTGAGCCCTGTTCGCTGGCCCTTGGCTTTTATTATATGTGTGAAAGGGGCCTCGCCTTGGATTTTGGCACTGTAACCACCAACCTTATGACTTAATCTGTCACTGAACTACCCCTCTTGAATAATGGAGATGGTAATGTCTGCCATGTGGGTTATTGAAAAGACTGAGGCTGTTTCAAGTTTCTGGTCCATTTAGGCAGTCAGATAGCATGAACTGATGGCACCAGTTGAGTAGTTGTATGCTTTTCACTTCTGAAGAGTATTTATTCTTGTTGACATTTTATTTTATGTGTATAGGTATTTTGCCTTCATGAATGTCTGTGTACCACCTGCATAGAATGCTCACAGCAGTCAGAAGAGGCCCTCAGATCCATCAGGGCTTGAGTTACAGATGGTTGTTAACCACCATGTGGAGGCTAGGAATTGAACCAGGTCCTTTGGAGGAGCAGCCAGTGCCTTTTAAGTGATGAAGCATCTTTCTGGTGCTAGCTCTGGAGAATTCCTGAAGCTCTTTTGCCTCTCGTCTCTGCTTAGGGCAGCAGTTCTCAACCTGTGGGTCGAACCCCTTTAGCAAATGTCTGTCTCCAAAAATATTTACATTATGATTCATAACAGTAGCAAAATTACAGCTAGGAAGTAGTCACAGAAATAATTTTATGTTTGGGGGTCACCACGGCATGAGGAACTGTGTTAAAGAATCTCAGCATTGGGAAGGTTGAGAACCACTGGCTTAGGGCTATCAGTAATGGCTTGCCAGGTGCCCTGTCCTAGGTTCTTCCCACTTGTCTTTCTGGCCTTCTCTCCTCTCTAGCAGGACTTTAGGTCCTAGGGAGTAGTTCTGTGTGGCCTGTCTTTCACAGCCCCGCCCTTCTTTTCTGCAGTGGGGTCACCTCCCAAACCCGCACTGATATCCTGGCTAGAAGCACGGCAGCCGTGGGGTGTGAGTATCTGCACAGCTCAGCTGAAGAGGGAGGCAGAGGCTGCCTCCCAAGGTGAGTTGTAGAAAGCCATCCGTCTTCTGCCCTCTTCTCTTTCACATGGTGAAATGCACCACTAGGGCTTACTCCAGCCTTTGCTGGGAGTTCCTAGGACCCTGAGCCTCTTCCCTTCTGTTTGGCCATTTCTTTCCAGCTGTGCCCTTCCCTGGCATCTCACTGTCAGCTGTTGCTCATCACAGGGCCTGTTTCTCTCTCCACCCAGTTGTCATGCTCCTCATCCCTGGGCCTGCACTAACTTGGCATTGTCTGTATTCATCCCTCCTATTCTTAGGAGCATCATTCCATTCCATTCTTTTTCTTGGTGATGAGTTCTTTCAGCTAGGCCCTCCTTGGAGCACCACGTCTTTGCTTTTGGGGACTTCTGTGTGGTGCTCCTGTGCCATGATTACCTTCTCCTCTACTGTCTTGCTGTTCATATTCTTCCTTAGCCCTGTTTGTTGCACTTGCTGTTTCCTGCTGTAATGGCCCTTCTTCCCTTTCCTGTCATTTGGATACCCTTTCTTGTTTTTGTCTTATCCTTGACTATGCTGTAAAACGGTAATGACAGGCAAGATTCTTGCTCCAAGAATCTTACTTTATAGTTCTTGCTGCTTTTCCCAGTTCCAAGTGTGGAGGAAAAGTACATTTTCTTGTTTGTGTATATGCGTGTCTTTGTTTTTTGTTTTCTTCCAGGAGGTGATCTCCCAATTAAACCAAGCAAGTTCATCTTGAAACAGGACCCTTCAGAATACACAGAAACCTTTGCTGTGCTATCAATATGTCCTGAGACAAGCGTTTCTGAAGGAACGGGGCTCAAAGACTCTTTTGAACAGAAGAGCAGGCTACAGAAGCTCTGTGTAAGCCCCATACAAGTGAAAGAGATGAAGGAAGAAGCTGACATTAGTTACAGGACAGGAGGAGAACCTGGAGTATTGGAAAGCAGTGCTATTCTTGACGTAACTCCTGTTAAGTGTGTGAATGTTTCTAGGAAAAAGCGATCCTTTAAACGTGACCATGACAGAAACTTCAGAAAAAGATCATACCATTACAAAAAGAAATACGGGGAAGAGCTCAAAGATACAGTTGAAGGGTTTGGTATATATGAGAGTGTTAGACTGAAAGAGAGTGAAAAGACCTTCAGTAAAAGCCCCCATCTTGACTATCATCAGAGATATTATAGTCAAGAGAAACAGTTTAAATGCAGGGTGTGTGAGAAAGCCTTCAGGTGGCGTTCAAATTGTGTGCGACATGAGAAAATTCACACTGGAGTGAAACCTTATAAATGCAGTTTATGTGAGAAAGCTTTCCAACGTCGATCAGCCTACCATCTGCACCAGAAAACCCACTCTAAACAGAAAACGGAATCCAGGCAGTTGAGAGACGCTGCCACCTGCAAGTTGGATCGCAGTCATCGTTTGATAAACCAGCGTAAGGAGAAGCACTTGGACTGCAGCCAGTGTGGTAAAAACTTCTGCTGTAAGTCCTATGTTCGTCAACACCAAAGGCTTCACACACAGGAGAAACCTTACAAATGTACCCAATGTAGGAAAACTTTTCGGTGGAAGTCAAACTTTTCTCGTCATAAGAGACTGCACCAAAAACAAGAGTTCTGTAAACAAGAGAAATGTGAAGAAGACTTCAAGCAGAATTGCAGTCAGTCTGAGGTTGTCTCTACTGTGGAGAAAACTTTTCTGTGTCAGACTTGCGGGAAAACTTTTACACAAAAGAAATCACTCATTGAGCACCAGAGGATTCACACGGGGGAGAAGCCATACCAGTGTGGTGCATGCAGGAAAACCTTCACCTATAGGTCATCTTATTTTATTCACATGAAGCGTCATGCTGTTAAAATGAAACCTGAAAGTGGTCTCCCTTTGAGTCAGGATACAGTGTTTCTTCAGAGCAGTCCCAATACAGATGAGCCCAACAAATGTAAATACTGCGGTAGAACCTTCCGCACTCTGTCATTCCTCCTCATTCATCAGAGAGTTCACACCAGAGAGAAGCCCTACAAATGCAGGGAGTGTGGAAAAGCTTTCCGATGGAGTTCCAATCTCTCTCGACATGAGAGGAAACACTATTCACCTCCACAGTGGGAGTATCATGAAAGTAAAGAGACTTTAGGGTTCGAGTCAACAATCCTCACTGGTCAGAAGCCCTTTTGGTGTCAAGAATGTGGGAAGACCTTTACACGCAAAAGAGGCCTTTTAGATCACAGGGGAATACACACTGGAGAGAAGCGCTTTAAGTGCAGCTTTTGTGAGAAATCTTTCGATAGGAACTATCGTCTTGTTAATCACCAGAGGATCCACACTACAGAGAGACCTTTTCAATCTCCGTGGCATGATGAATGTTTTGTTGGGATGCATGCCCCTTCTGTTGAGCAGAGAAAGCACAGCAGAACACTGCAGTCTGGATGTAGCCTGCACTCAGAGAAGCCTGGCACACCTTACTGTCGGGATGCAAGGTTCAGTTCTCAGGAAGCAGAACTAAGTGGAAAGAAGCCCCGTAAAGAATGCGAGAACCCTTCTGACAAGAGCTCCAGGCTCATTCTGTTCCAGAATGTCCGCTCCAAGACAAACTGCCACAAATGTAGCATCTGTGGGAAGACATTCAGCAAGCGTTCACACCTCATTAGCCACAAGAGATTTCACACTCGAGAGAGGCCCTTCAAATGCAAAGTGTGTGGGAAGACCTTCAGGTGGTCTTCCAATTTGGCACGTCATCTGAAAAACCATGTTAGAGATTAGCCCGGGGCCTCCGACAGTGGGGCTGGGCTAGTTCTTGCTTAAATTTCTAGAGACCATAAGTGGCAGCTACTGGGGAAACCTTTGCAAAGGCCCAGTCCTTCTGGTTTGGGAGTTTTTGGCTTCAGGCAGAGAATATAGAATCTTGTCTGGTGATGTTAGGGGGTAGTATAGAGTCCCTTGGGTGGAGTAGAGTGAGCTGTCTGAAGACTGGACTGAAGTGAGTCCTGGGACCAACCTTTTTACAGAGGTATTTAGTTGTGATGATGTCTCTGGTGGATCCGTCTATTATAGGATTACCCTGGGACCTTTTTCCTGTAATCTTTGCTGCCATCTTTAAGGCCTGTGTCTCAACTGCAGGTGTCATGTGGGTTCCCAGTTATATTTGTCACTGCAGCCTGACTAAGCGCATGCGAAAGCTGAGCTTGGGTGCTTATGGTGACAGATACTGCAAAGCAAACAACACTGCTTCTCCATGCTGGGACGATGAATCGGCACTCAGAGTGTTTGCGTTGCTCTTGCCTGGGTTCTGTTCCCAGCACCCATGTGGCAGCTCACAACCATCTACAGTGCCAGGGATCCCATGCCCTATCCCGACTTACACATGCACCAGACATGCACTTGGCTCACAGACATGCGTGCAAGCAGAACACTGAAGTACATTTTAAAAATACACACCTGTAATCCCAGCACTCAGGGAGGCAAAGGCAGGTGGATCTCTGAGTTTGAGGCCAGTCTGGTCTGCAAAGCGAGTCCAGGTCAGTCAAGGCTACACAGAGAAACCTTGTCTCCAAAAACAAGAAAAGTATTAAAAATCTGTATTTTAAAATTGCGTCGCTGAAGGATTCTCGTTCTGCCAGATCAGAGGTGGAGACTTGATCAGACAGGTTGGGGTCCTTCAGAAAGCAGGCCGGGAGTCTAGTAGCAGATAAAAGTATGCTCAGAAGTGCACAGCTCCTAGGCAGGGGTGCCGCTGTAGACGCTTTTAAGTAGAGTGCTGGTTGACAGCTTCTGGTTGTCTTGGCAACTGTGTCTAATCGTACACTTGAGCTTGGCCTGGAAAGCACAGGCTTCTTTCAGCATGGCTTTCTCCCCACTGTCTGAGGAACTGGAGTGGGAGTGAGGATAGACAGGTGTGTGGAGACCATCATGGAGTGATGTCAGGTGGCCTCTGAGCTGCTCAGTGTGGGGAGCTCCATCCTTACCGAAGACTGTCAGACCACGGTGTGCAGAGAAGAGACCAGATGGACTATCTTGTCACTCTTATGAAAGTTAGTTTTGAAAGCTTAGGTGAAATGGGCGGAACACCTGGAATTCAGAGTTCTTTGTAAGTGGAAATTAAGACAGACTGCCAGGTAACTCGGAAAACCTTACAAGACTGTGAATCCCCCGGTGAGTTCTGTCTGTTGGTCCTGGATCAGTGTGAAGAACGATGAGTGAGTCCACTCACTGCAGCACGTCTGGATGGTGGGGCTGGTGGAGCCCTGTTTGCCGTCAGCAGAGCAGCGCAGGGGCCACTGGCACTTCAAGAAGATACAAGACTCAGTGTGGTGGTGCATGCCTGTAGTCCTAACATGGGATGCTGAACAGGAGGAGCAAAAGGAGGCTGTCTCCGCAATCCCCACCAGCAGCACAACAAAAAGCCAAAACGGTGACTATGCAAGAGTGAGCTCCAGTTCGGAAAACTGCACTGTGAGGTGCAGCGGCTCTGTATAATCTGCTGTGTACATAGTTTCCGTGTGTGAAGTGGACGTCACTTGGGTTTCTGTGAGGGGGTGGAGGAGTAGACCTGATAGGGTGGGGTCACTAATGAAATGCATGTGTGACATTGAGACTAGTCGTGTAAACATCCCTGATGCCTACTAGAGTTAATGCTTTGCACAGCTGTGGATTCAAAGACACGAAATAAGAGTATAGTTATGAAATAGGATGATGTGTGCTAACCATTGCTCCATATTACCCCGGTGTGAGGTGGTGGTGAAATCGGAATGGATATGTGGGGCCGTCACTTGTTTTTCTAAAAGTTCTTGCAGACACATCCTCTAAAGCTGTGATTTACCTGCTGCTACTGAAGTGGTCTGTTCGCCCGTCCTCCCAACACTCTCGCTCGCGCTCTCCCTCTCTCTCTCACTCTGATAGGTCATTGTGGGTGTCCACAGAGATTTGTCTGCCTCCAGAGTGCTGGGATTAGAGGTGTGCACACCACACCTGGCCCACTTCATCTCTTAAATTCTCAGCATTCTTATCTGCTCAATTTGAAATAGCACAAAATAGCTGTTGGCAAAGGAATGGTTAAACGGCTGCAGTGTGGCAGCGCAGTGTGCCAGTCTGAAGAAAGCCAGGGCGCTTTGTGTCTCAGCACCACCCCCAACCTCTGAGATTGTGAGCTGTTGCCACACTAGCTCTTGCCAAAAAAGGGAAACTAGAAGACAGACAGTTGTGATGATGACGTGGGACTTGGGACAGTGATGCCTGTTAGGCATCCTCCTTTCCTGGTGGATGGAAGAGATGAGTATTTATGTGCCAGGTGCCACATTTTTTAAGTTAACACTGCTAAAAATGGCAAAATTGTGTCAGCCGGGGTTTAATGAAAATCCAAAAACAACTGTACTAATTATTGCAACAACTTGGAACTGTTGACTGTATATGTTGAGGTAAAGAGAGAGAAAGAATGTCAGGCTGTATTGAGGACAAGCTGCTCCAGAGGCCAGAATAGGTTCACATAGGACCAAATATTCTGCAATGAATGGCTGGGGAAGTGTGGCTGAGGGAAGGCTGGAGGGGCTCAGCTTTGGTCTGTATTGGGCAGGATTTACCCACTGGTGCACATTAAAAACTGTTCTGTGCTGTTGTGAGTGTTCGTTTGTTGTCAAGCTTTTACAAGTGCTTAGATTCCCCCATCCCCTGTGAATGAGGGAAATTGCTAGGAGCCAACAGTTGAAGCTTTTCAATAGCAGTGAATAGACTTCTCCATCTGGTCTGGCAGCCCAGAGCTAGGAACTGTTAGCCAAGCGTCTCTTGTCAACCAGGTGGAAATGCACACAGACTATTGTAGCGCCAAGGACCACAGAGTGTCTCAGAGTCACACCTGCTCTAGGAGGTGTGAGCCACTCTAGTCAAGGGTGGCTTCTCAGACTCGATGTTTAGATGGCCTTGACGCTGGTCTACAGTGTCTGTGTGGGAGCCTCCTCTAGCTGTGATGTGACTGGTGGACAGTGTACATACATTCCCTCATTTGCATTCCTCTCAGATCCTCTCCTGGACAGTCCAGCCTATTCAGCCACTGCTCTGGTGGTGCAGCCTAAGTCCAGTTAAAGGCTGTGGTGGTACATTAGGAAAAGCTCTCTCCAGGCTGGAACTTGTGCTGAACTTCCTGGCCAAACAACTAACACACTTGAGGTCACTTGAGGCCTTCCTAGTGTGTGCTGTCTTTTTAACCTGCCTTTTTCATTGTTTTTGGGCTTTCAAGACAGGGTTTCTTTGTGCAGCCCTGGCTGCCCCAGATCCTGCCTCTGCCACCTCAGTGCTGGCATTAAAGGCGTGGTACTACCATCCGGCTACCTTTAACCTGCCCTAAGGTAGCACTGTAACAACCAACTTTATTTGCCTTGGCAATCACCTTTTATAATGTAAGCTAATAGAATTTTAAATTATGTATTCTTCCATGCTTCCGACCCAGAGAAAATGCCTGCCTGTCTGTCTGTCTGTCTGTGTGCCGTGGTGATACATGCTAATAGCTGGAAAGCACCCTCCACAGTAAATACCCGCCATGAATGGCTAGAAACAGCCTAGTTACTGTTTGATAACTGAATGTTGGCTTTTTTCGTGTCTTTGAGTCAGGTGAAGCCAGGAATATTTAATCCTGTGTAAAACTCTGTAAAGCGTCTCTCAGTCTTCCCGGTGTGGTGCTGTGTTGCCCAATAAGAAAGCAAAGCCCTTTCTTAGAAGCACGTGGACAGATACCCAAGGCGGCATTCAAGCAGGTGCAGACTCAGACTACAACACACGGGAGTGTTGGCCCTGCTCAGACGGAGAGATACCCTGGGAATCCGGAGCCCAGGAACCACAGCTCTGAGAGGCCTCCCCAGCAGGCGCACTGCAGCTCCCAGGAGGGTTTTCCCAGTCAGGAGCTCCGGAGCCTCAGCCCCACTTCACTGCTTTGCTTTTTCCCTTCTCTTGATTGCTTCCAGTGAGTCACAGGCAGAAAATCTCACAAGAGACTTAATGGGAGGATCCAGGGTGCAGGGGACAGCTCCAGGGGTGGCTGCTCCTGCTCCCAGGAGAGGACAGCAGGGGACTGAGCAGATGCAGCCTTTAGGAGTAATTTCCTAAGGGGTAGAACTTTTAAGGGCAGAGATTTCCAGAGTGAGAATTGGTCTTTCAAGTCCTGAGCATGGGGGAATGGTGGGTTTTCAGACTTTTCACCTAAAATTAGCATAACCAATGATACTGAGGGGCTGGAGATGACCTTTGTGACAGACTGGAACCCATGTTATGACAAAGATGTCTGGCGGAAGGGCCTGACACTTTTTGTGTTTACAAAGTTTACAGAGGGAGTCTAGGGCAGGGAAACGTTCCTTGCTGCTTGAGTTGCCATGGACAGCCAACAGGTTACAGACAGGAGAGACCTGGAATCTCATTCTTGGTTAAACTACTCCAAAGGAAAGCACTTTGATATTTTTTTCCCCTTAATATTACACTGATAACATTTGGGGTACTCTGAGGTTGTTACTAGTTTGTTTAAATTGACCCAAATTTTCCCAAATTGTCTTTTCTAATGAGAGCGGGCTGAGCTTGTTTTTTGGACTCTCCAAGATGTGTTTGCCTCAGGCTTTGCTCACCCTTTTATCTACAATAAACTTTTCTCTTCCACCTGATCTAGGAGAAGTTATGTTCTGTTCCTTTTCTTATTCAGCACCATTTGTCAGGTGACTGACATGAGGCTTGAAGGGTTTAGGCCACCCCAAGTGAGAGGCAGCTTGGTGCAGATCTGAGGTGCACCTGGCTGAGCAGTCTAGACCCGGGGTGAACAGGTGGGCAGGGGCAGGTTCTGATGAGTTCACGGGCTGTGAGACAGGAGAGGCTTGGGCGTGGGCCTGTGCTGAATGCATACCTGCCACATTCCTGCTTGCTACACATTTGTGTTCTGGAAGAGAAGCTATGAGATGGGCTGCCCAAAGCAGGAGCGATGCGAAGCAAGGCCAGGGCCACCTCCAAGTTGGCGACAGAGGCCCAGCACATGCTGTGTGGTCCCCAGAAGGAATCCGGCCTGGCCAGGATGGAATGCTTTACATAACAATGACCAGTTGCTAGGAACACCAGCTTCTGATACTATCTCTACTGTGAAGCTGTCTGCACAGACCGCACTACCCCATAGCCTTCCAACAGGTAAGCTTCAGTCCTGCAGGTCAGCCTTGTAGGCCTGGGAGGGCAGGGTGGGGCGTAGGGGAGGCAGTGCCTTTGCTGTGCAAGCAGGACCTCGCCGAGAACCAGAAATCAGAGTGCTGCTGGTTGGCCTGGGTGGTCCTTCTGTGGACTACCTTGAAGTTTCTCAAGGCCGTAGCTGCTGTGTCCATCCTAAAGAAACCAAAGCCATTGTTGAGCTCTCTGGAATGAGCCTCTAGACTAGGCAGCCCTTCTGTACCAGCTAGGGGCCAGGGTTCACATACTTCCTGAGCTTTCTGTTGGTGCTAGAACAATTGCTGATTTATTACTGTTAGAGGTTGTGAACTCCTGATCCTCCTGCTTCCACCTCAAAGGGTTGAGTCACAACTGTGCTACCGTGCCTGGCCTTCCCTCACTGGATTGAGAGCTGTTTCTGTAGTGTCAGAGTCGAGGTCCAAACGCTTTCAGAGACAGCAATGTTACAAAGCAAGGGAAGTTTTATCATTCGAGTAGAAGGGGGCAGCTGTCAGTCGCAACAGGGGAATCTTTTGTAGGTCTTTGATCTTTGCGATCAAGCACAGCCTGATACAAAAGTGGAACTTCGGCAGGTAGACTCAGCACAGACACCTCGTCAAGAGTTCTTGATGTCATGGTGGCTGGCCAGCTTCAGGAGGCTCCATTTCAAGTCATGTTGACCTAGTTCTCAGAAGGTCTTTGTGGTCTGTTGATTTGAAAAATAGTCTGAACAATAGGAACATGTGTCTCACTTCCCCTAAGAAATAAAAATATCAAGATCAAGGAAAGGAAAAAATGGAGGCCCTGTTGTCTTTAGAAGATGAAATAAACTATTCAACTCATTTTAAAAAATTAATAGTGAAGGCAGAAATGGAGGAGCCTTTAACAATTTCCTTACAATGGTTTCTACTTAAGCCCTTTGATGTTCAGTTTGGCAACAGCAAGTCAAATCCTTGTTCACACTGCTGTGGGACGCACACCATAGACGACCACTCAGACAGTTTATGGCCAATTGAAGGTCTTGATTCCAGCTGGCTGGGGCTATACTCAGGCATCTGGGACCCAAGTGTATCCCGACTGTTTAGAGCAAGGGGCTTTGCTTTTTTTTCTTTTTTTCCTTTTTCTTTTTATTTTTTTGGGTTCCACGTGGGAGGTTTATTAAGGGAAGGGGGGGACAGAGAGAGAGAGAGAGAGGAAGAGTAAGGAAGAGAAAGGAAGAGAGAGAGCAAGAGCGGGGCTTTTATTTAGTCAGTTTGTATCCTAGCTGTAGCCCCCTTTCTTATCCCCTCCCAAACCCTTTCTCCCTCTTCTCATACCCCTTCCCCAGTCCACTGATAGGGGAGGTCCTCCTCCCCTTCCATCTGACCCTAGTCTATCAGGTCTCATGAGGACTGGCTGCATTGTCTTCCTCTGTGACCTGGTAAGGCTGCCACCCCCACCTCCAGGGGGAGGTGATCAAAGAGCCAGCCCCTGAGTTCATGTCAGAGACAGTCCCTGTTCCCCTTATTGGGGAACTCACTTAGAGACTGAGCTGCCATCTGCTACATCTGTGCCGGGGTTCCAGGTTATCTCCATGCATGGACCTTGGTTGGAGTATCAGTCTCAGAAAAGACCTCTGGTCCTTGGTTGGAGTATCAGTCTCAAAAAAGAAAGACCTCTGTGCCCAGATTTTTTGGTTCTGTTGCACTCCTTGTGGAGCTTCTGTCCCCCTCCAGGTCTTTCTATCTCCCCCTTTTATAAGATTCCCTGCACTCTGCCCAAAGTTTAGCTATGAGTCTCAGCATCTACTTTGATACCCTGCAGGGTAGAGTCTTTCAGAGGCCCTCTGTGGTAGGCTCCTGTCCTGTTCCCTGTTTTCTCCCTCTTCTGATGTCTATTCCATTTGCTTTTCTGATTGAGGAGTCGTCATCTGACCCAGGGTCCTCCTTCTTGCTTAGCTTCTTTAGGTGTACAGATTTTAGTATGTTTATCCTATATTATATGTCTAATATCCACTTATAAGTGAGTATATACCATGTGTGTCTTTCTGCTTCTGGGATACCTCACTCGGGATGATCTTTTCTAGATCCCACCATTTGCCTGCAAATTTCATGATTTCCTTGTTTTTAATTGCTGAGTAGTATTCCATTATGCAAATGTACCACAATTTCTGTAGCCATTCCTCAACTGAGGGACATCTGGGTTGTTTCCAGCTTCTGGCTATTATGAATAAAGCTGCTACGAACATGGTTGAGCAAATGTCCTTGTTGTATACTTGAACATCTTTTAGGTATATGCCTAGGAATGGTATAGTTGGATCTTGAGGTATCGCTATTCCTAATTGTCTAAGAAAGCACCAGATTTCCAAAGGGGTTTTACAAGTTTGCACTCCCACCAGCAAGGGAGGTGTGTTCCCCTTTCTCTCCATCCTCTCCAGCATATGTTGTCACTTGAGTTTTTGATCTTAGCCATTCTCATGGGTGTAAGGTGAAATTTCAGGGTCGTTTTGATTTGCATTTCCATGATGACTAAGCAAGGGGCTTTTAAAGGCAAAACTACATCCTCTTTTCTTGCTTGGCAGCTTCAGGGGTAGGTTTTGCACAAGCAGGCAGTTTACAGAGGCCAAGATATATTAGCTGGGACATCTTGACCTTGGTGTTCTAAAATAGGGTTGAGTAATTCTCCACAGGACATTCCATCAAAGAGATAAAATTCTACTTAAACCTAAAATGACCACAGCAAGAATACAGGACAGAGGCACCTGTGCACTCCCTTCCCCTCGGGTTTCCTCACACCTGCTTCTGCACCTCTAAATCAGGGCAAAGTTGTTCTTTTAGAGCTCAAATGATGAGACCGAGTCACCTAGATAAAGCATGAAGATCTCTGCGCTGGAAGGTCTGTAATACATAACTATGCTGTGATCTATGCCTAGGAGTGGGGTAGCCCTTTGGCCTTGGAAGGAACTCAGTCACAGCTTCCAAGTGCATGGCCATTTGTGATGGGCCAGTGTGCTCATTGTGCGTGAGAATGAACTCACTGCAGTCCAGGCCTCAGCTGTCTCAGCCCTTTGAGTGCTTGGATTCTAGGCATGCCCATGATGCTGTTTTTGTCTGCCCTATTTTTCATGTCAAGCTATAGCCATTTAATCACTGTTGCTTTCCGTATAAAATGAACTTAAGGAATGGTAACCAGCCTGTTCAAAGAATACAGTAGACTTTATTGTGTAGAAATGTAATCATTTACTTCCCACTGACCGTTAACATAGACATGGCTATCTGAACTGTTCAGGAGAAGAGGTAAAATCCGCTTCGTGTAGAGCTGCCCTTCATTATCTTGGGATTGGCAGCAGCACGCACGACAGAGACCAAGTCAGCAGATGCTCAAATCCCCGAAAGAAAATGCCCTAGTATTCACGCCCAGTGTGTTCTCACCTCATACTCAGAGCCGTCCTGAGCCGCAATATCACATACATGCTGTGGAGCCGGGGTAACGAGAAGTCTGTGTGTCCAGCACATCCGCACAGCTCAGGTTTCTATTGCAACGTGGGGAGGGAAGGCTCCGTTTCCTCACACCTCAGCGTGGAAACTCAGGCAGGGCGTGGAGGAGTGTTTTCTTGTACTCCACAGAGGAAGGAACTGAGTCTGGGCGTGGCGCACACACCTTCAGTCCCAGCACGCGGGAGGCACAGGCGGGCCGGCCCGGTGTGTACCGCGAGCTCCCGGACAGCCCGGGCTCCACAGCGGAGGGGCGGCCGTGCCCGCGTCCTGACCGTGTCCTCCGTTTCAGGTATGTCCCGGAGTCAGCTCGACCAGGAGAAGGCGGCTCTGGATTCCTTTGTCTGGGTGAATGAGGTCACTGGCGAGGTCACCGTCCCCGCGGGGGAGGAGAGCAGGGCCGCGGAGAAGCGGCGGCGGCCGGAGGCTGCGGGCCCGGGCCGCCTCCTCGCGCCCGCCGCGCCGGGGCACCGCCCCCCGGGAGCGTGCCCGCCGCCCGCCCGCCCGTCCCCGCCCTGCAGGCTGCGGAACGTCCTGACCCGCAACCACCGCTTTTCCTTCTGAGCGCGGCCTCCGGGCGGGAGCGCACGCCTGCTCGCCAATACACGTTTCTGAGGTTTTTCCAGACTGCCCCGCGGCTTCCTTTACCTCCTCGGGCCGCTCGGGCCGGCGTGGGTGGGGCGCGCGGAGGGGCGCCGGCCTCAGGCTCACGACACGCCCACTGTCTTCCGCTCACGCTAGGACAGGCCCAACCCGGCTCCTTCAGAGGTGGTCAACTCGGGGTCTTTCACCATTTGCACCGTGTAGACCAGCCCACATGCCTCTGCCTCCCAAGTATGAGGTTCCCAGTTATTTTACAAGTGAAGGCACCTGCCACAGCCACCAAGCTTGCACCAGAGCTGGACACACACCGTTAAAGATAGGTGTCTTGGCGGGAGAAGTAGCTCAGCAGAATCCTGGCCCTAACAGGCACAAAGTCCCTCCAGCACTACACTCAGAAAAGGGGTGGGGGTGGGGGGTGACAGACTTTAGCTAGCTCACAGTGTGGCTGGCAGGGAGCAGCTCTCAGGGGTAGGTGCTGTAGACACAAGATCGGACCCTGCCAGGCTGTGTCCCTGCAGAAGGTGAAAGTTCACTGTGATGTGAGCCAAAGGAAGTTGGTTGCCGGCCAAGCCAGGGCTGTACACTCTGGGCGTGAGACTGGGCAGGTCTGCCCTGGAAGCCATCGAGTGAGTCCACACTCGCCAAGTGTGGTGCTGAAAAGCGCAGGCTGCCTTCCTTCCTCCAGTGTGCTTCCAGGGCCCCAGAGTGCGACCTCTGCAAGTTGCAGCTGCTGTGTGTCCAGTCTGCATAGGGGCAGAGGCCTTTCAGGAGCAGAGGAAGAAGGGTCTGCAGCCCAGGCTGTGAACAGTCTAGAGTTAAGGGTCTAGCCCCAGCTCTCTTTGGAAACCATTTTGCTGTAGAGGGGCCATCTGGGCTCTCTGAGGTGGAGGGAACGCCCACATCCGAAGATGGAGTCTAAAAGTTTCCTGCCATCCCTAGTTGTGAAACAGGTTTTAACAGCTGGAACACATGAAGAGCAGCCATGTGGTCGACAAGGTATTGTTTATTATTAGTTTTGAGAAAAATCCGTTCAACACACACAACAGGAGAGTCTGTGCCAGGTGATGTTAGAAATGGCACAATCCAAACAAATTTCTAATAAACTAGCATGTTTACAAATTTCCCCTCCCCTTCCTCTGTGTAGCCCTGGCTGTCCTAGAACTCACTTTGTAGACCAGGCTGGCCTGGAACTCACAGAGATCCACCTGGCTCTGGCTCCCAAGTGGCGGGATCACAGGCCTGCGCCAGCACACCCTGCTTGAGGGTTCTTTCTCACAGAGTATCTACAGCCACCTCTGCCGCATGGGTCAAAAGCAGCACCGGCAGAAACAACCCTTGAGCCAGCTCTCATCTGACCATAGTTTGCACTGTTTAAAGAGTACTATGTTATAAACCCCAAACAGGAAAAACTGCTTTTTAGTGTCTCCTTTGTTCTAATGCACCGTGGGAAAAACTCACCTGGACTTCCTCAGAAGAAACGTGCCATGAAGCTTGGGCTTGGTCTGAGTACAGAACAGGCCTCCCACTGTGCAGGAGACAGCAGAGACCACAGAAAGCAGGGCTGTGCTTCTGAGAATGAACCACAGCACAAGGCTCTTCCTGGCCAGATCTGAGGAATGACGGAAGCTCTCAAGGAGCTTTGGGCTAACTTACCACATTGATTCTTACTCTTGGTGCCTGCCGAGCACATGCTCTACCAATATTTTAACGGGCAGAAGAAATCATGGTTAAGTTCTCTGCCACTTATGTTCCAGTAAACTAGTATCAGACAGTGTTGACATGTATTCAGTGGGGTTTAAAAATCTTTCTCATGGGCAAAATTTGGCTACTTAATTTTTGCTACTGGCAATCATCTGTTTTGAGCAACTTCCCATCACTGGCTATAAGGTGTAAGTGTCTAAACAATGTCACTATCAAGATGCATGTTGAACTATGTTGCAGGTAAGAAGTGAGTGCTAGCCCTAACGTGCTATACTGAATGAGGCCAATGTATATACATACATCCACTCATATAAAAATATATAACTTACAGAACCCTCTATTACATAGCTTTAAATATTCTTTTTTCCTTCCAGCATCACAATCAGCATCATAAGACTAGGGAGAGTAAACCTTTCAAAACAAGTTTCTTGGCATAAAATCACTAAAAAGAAAACCCACCCCACTTTTATAGCAGCATTAGAAACTTTGTTCTAACATGTAAATACTAACGGTATCTCAAACTGAGTTTAGATAAATTCAAGTTCTCCTTCTCAGAGAAGGAGACAGATACCTGCTACTTCATAACTTCTCTCTTCCAGTTCCACGGGATGCACAGGTCCCCATCTTGCATGACAGAATAGAAGTGTGACACACAGAGGTGCATCCCGTGGAGGTAAGGCAGCGACTGCTCCAGAAGTCTCCTGCAGCAATCCACCATCTGTCTGCTAGAAATGCTGGGCTCTTTATATAACTTCTCCAGAGAGAACTTCTTTGTTGAAGCCTGTATCAATTCATTTTCAATAACTTTTAACCTATTAAATAAAAAACTGCCATAAGCTATTACTAAACAAAAGAATACAAACATTCTTAAATGTGGGGGTATATATATATATATATAAAACGCAGCAGGGTACTGGCTGCTTTATTTCCACAGTTAGCTCTGAAAGTATTAATCAGGGCTGGAGAGACGGCTCAGCGGTTAAGAGCACTGTCTGATCTTCCAGAGGTCCCGAGTTCAATTCCCAGCACTTATAAGGTGGCTCACATCTGTAACTCCAGCTTCGGGAGGTCCAACGTCCTCTTTGGTTCACACTGACACCCAGAGGCACAATACCTAGACATGCATCAAACAGCTAAAATGCAGAGAGTGCTTTCTATTATCTGTTTAAAAGTCAGGCCCTCATACAGCAAGTGGGTCTGCAACTTCCTGAAAATGGGGGTACTTACGTCTCCCTTCTTGTCATGTTTTCTCTTGCCTGCTGGGCTTTGGCTCTCATAAATGACTGCAGGCTTGCTGGATCCGACAGGGCTGGGACATTAAAATGCCCGAGTTCATGCAAGCTTGGTGAGTACCTGTCGCTGAGACAGAACCTGTATTAAGGTAAACATCACCACTTCCACAGACAATACTTTTTAATCTCCAGTGACTGGAAAGTAGACATCAGAAAAATCCACCTTAAGTCGGGTGGTGGTGGCATACTCCTTAAACTCCAGCACTTGGAAGGCAGAGGTAGGTGGACTTCTGAGTTAAGAGGCTGGCCTGGTCTACACAGAGAAACCCTGTCTTAAAACAACAATACAAAAAAGAACAAAAGAAAGACAGAAAAGGGAAAAAATCCACCTCAGAGTTACAGCCACACGGATGGACGACGCTATTCTGTATGACACATGGCAGTGACCTACTCAAGGTGAGCCTGCACATGGCAAAGTGCAGGTAGAAAGTACTTGCATGCATGCGCTCTCGCACACACACACACCAGTTTTCTATATGACTGACTTTGCTGAGCAGTGGCTGTATCTTCAAAGAATGTTCCAGAGATCTTCAGGCCCTCAGTTTGGTTTCTGACATACGCAAAACAGGGATATGAACATAATTCTTTTGACTAGTGACATTGTTTTGTTTTTTAGATAAGGTGTAGAAGGAACCTCTTATGTATTGTCTGGATGCAACACCTGTTAACTAAAAACACCTGGGGCCTACGGCCAAGGCAGGAAACAGGTGGGATGGATGATGGAAATCAAAGGGATTCTGGGATACAGCCAGGTGCCTGAGATTCAGCCGGCAGGATGTGAGCAAGATGGACGCATGTTGCCTGGGCTCCATTCGGCAGAATGTATATTAGAATAAACGGGTTAAGTTCTGAGCTCATCAGAGAAGAACCTAGTCATATGGCCTAGAGGTATTTGTAAAATAACAACTGAGTCTCATAAGTCACTAGTCCAAGAACCTAGGGATGAGAAGAAACGCCTCTCACTACAGGGTTAGAGTCTTTAGCTCAGGCTGGCCCTGAACTCACAGTGCTCCTCCTGCTTCTGCTTCTTGAGTACTGGGATTAAGGGTGTGCACCGCATGCCTGGCCTCCATTTAAAAACATCATTTAAGATTATATATAATCTATCATCTATCCAACTATCTTTGTCTCTGCATGTGAGCACGGTGTCTGAGGAGGTCAAAGGCACTGGGTCCCTGGAGCTGGCATTATGAGTGGTTGTGAGCTGCCTGACATAGGGCTTGGGAACTGAATCCTCTACAAAAGGAGGGTCTACTTTTAACCACGGAAACAGTTCTGCAGCCACTCATTTCTTCTTCCATATGCTTTTTAATTTATAAGAACCACAGTGAAATAAAGCCCAGCTCAAAGCACTGAGGTCCGCATGACCCGCCCAGTCCAGACATTTACCTGCTGAGGACCATCTGCAAGCCCCTGAGGCTGTGAGGGGGCGCAGGCACCCTACTTCTCAGCAGCTGACTGCAGAAAACATCCAGGAGACAGTAGTACTCATCAAGGGTGAGCGCTGGCTGCAGCTCTTCGATGTAGACCACCTGGATACCCCCCAGAAGACTGCTTATCTGGTCCTCTAAGGCTGACATTCTCCTCTGAAGGTCAAAATAGCTCGGCAAGCTTTCAAAAAGCTGTGGAATTGGAAAAAAAAAAAAGAACACATTTAGTTTTGTATTACTATAACTTTAGGAGTCCAGTTAATTCACTGATTGATTAATAATAAAAATTAATTTTGTTTCTTTTTTGAGACAGGAGTTCACTGTTTAGTCCTGGCTGTTCTGGATTCTGTAGACCAGGCTGGCTTCAAACTCAGAGCTCCACCTGCCTCTGCCTCCCAGGTGCTGGGATTAAAGGTGTGTGCCACCACTGCCCGAATAAATAAGAAAGTTTTAAAAATTATTTTTGTAAATGGAATATTCAATATAATCCTGGAAATACTGACACTGAAAAGAAACTATCAGTCTAGGGTCTTGGCAACTGGGAAGAGGCTGCAGAAAAGGAAAACTCAGCCCAGCTGATGGTCAGCTGATGGTCAGCTGATGGTCAGCTGATGGTCAGCGGGCCTCGCTGTGCGCTCTGTGCAGCGCCTCCCACGTACTCCTTACACACTGTCAGTAAGCTAACGTGCGGCCCAGCTGACAAGTGCAGTGAGCGTCACAGACATCTCCTGTGTGTGAGCACAATCTGCAATGTGTGGTGTGGCGATTTGTCTGTTTGCTGGAGCTTGAGGGGCAAGAAAACAAGGCAAGACTGTGTCAGCTCAAGTGCCACAGAGGCTGACAGGCGGAGGTCTGGTTTAAACAATGGTTGCCAGGACTTCTGGTTTCACCAGAAGTATAATAGGATTTAAAAACAGTAGACAATGTGAGATAATTTGGGGGGGGGGGAAGGCCATGTCCAAAACCAACAAGAAGCTGAGGACACCAGTCAGAGGACACCAAAGACTTAGGCTTCCTGTTGAAAGCTGTGATCTGTACGTTAAGAGAACAAGAAGACAGCAGGCAGGAACTAAGTTTCTATAAACCATCCATCATCATCTTACGACACTTTGGGAAAAATACTACTACCTCCTGCTTTGATTCTCCTCTTGGGTAACTGCTGCATCTAAGTACATGCAGAATCCATGTCTTCCTGTGGTGTGTAGCCTATGCATGTGTCTGCATGTGTAGACACGCTAGTGAGACTGTAAGGACGTAACATCTCTGATTTCATCTGGGCTCTGTCAACTCTTGTTGCATTTTATATCATCTTTTTACAAGCGCAGATCCATGTGAGCTCCATTCAGCACTGAGAATTCTACTACAGGATCTGCCACATGAGCCTCAGTGGCCAGATACCTTTGCTGCTGATTTCTAGGTGTAGGCAGCCTGGTATTTTGTGACTTCACAGCTGGCACAGAAATGGGAGTCACACAGATAGGCTTCAGCTATGACCTTCCCACCTCGGCTCTGCACACATCAGTGTTCGTCCTCATTTCTGAGCAGGGCTTACATGCAACACATGGATATTTATGCATAGATTTTTCCAAGATAATTTTTCTTTTTCTACTCTAAATGCCCAGAAGGGAACTTCCCGATGCTGTGCTCCGATGCAGAGCATCTTTGCATCTGGCCTCCTGTCAGCAGCGCAGGATGCACTTTGTGGTGCCACTGCTTCCACTCAGCTGTTCTAATCAGCATCTCAGCCTGCAAGCACTCTCACTGTGCCACACCCAGCCTGAACATGGTGGTCATCACAACATGTCTTCAGTGATGTGTCTTTGGCACATTTTCTATTTGGGTTGGGCTTTTTTTTTTTTTTTTTTAACTGTTGAGAGTTAAGAGTGCTTACACATTTTTTCCCCCCACAATCCAAGTTCTTACATTTTAAAATACAAAATACTATTAAATAGGTTTGAAATTATAATATTAAGTATTATTATTATCACTGTTTTTTTTTTTTTTTTTTCTAGATGGAGTTTTTCTGTGTAGCCTTGGTTGTCCTGGAACTTACTCTATAGACCAGGCTGGCCTTGAACTCAGAGATCTTCCTGCCTCTGCCTCCTGAGTGCTGGGATTTAAAGGTGTGCACCAGGAAGCCTGACTAAATATCTACTTTATTTCATGAGTATGGGTGAGTTTGTCTGCATGTGTACCTCACATTAGCACCTGGTGCCCTTGGAGCCCCTGGGAGTTACAGATAGTTGTAAACGATCAAGGGGTGCTGGGAATCAAACTTGGGTCCTCTGGAAGAGCAGCTGGTGTTCTTAACCACTCAGCCATCTCTCCAGCCCCTCTACCAACCATTTTAGTTGAACAGATACTTCACCAAAGATGAAAAACATGAAGATGGCAAATAAAAACATAAAAAGATGGCTAGGCAGTGGTGGTGCTCACCTTTAATCCCAGCACTCAAAAGGCAGAGGTAGGCAGATCTCTGTAAGTTCGAGGCCAGCCTGGTCTACAGAGTAAGTACCAAGACAGCCAGGACCATACAGAGAAACCCTGTCATGAAAAACAAAAACGAAAACAAAACAAATTTAAAAAATCTATAAAAAAAAGATGGCCACTGCCATTTATCATTAAATACAAATTAAACTAAAGATAAGACAATACACATGCCTACTGGAGTCATAATCACATGTTTTCACCAGAAATTAAAATATGACTATCTTTGAAATGATCAAAGGATATAATCCAGCAATTCTACCCCAGGAATTTACACACAAGATGAAAAATGCATTTCCCATATTTGTATAAACCACGTATCCTGGCTGACACCTGTAACACCAGGACATTGGAGGCTGAGGCAGTAGGATTGCCACAAATTTCAGTCCAGTTTGATTTACACAGTTCTAGTCCATCCAGGGCTATATAATGAGATTCTAAAACAAACAAACAAACCAACCCAAACGAAACACAATGCTGACTTCAGGGGCTGGAAAGAGAGCACTTGTTCTTGCAGAGGAGCCAGGTGAGATCCCAGCCCCCACACAGTGGTTCACAACTGCACCTCCAGGTTCAGGGGATCCCATGCCCTATTCTAACCTCCTCATGAACCAGGCACGTGCACATGTGGTACAGACATGCATACATGCAGACAAAACACTTACATAGAATTTAAATCTAAAAAATAAAATTTAGCAATGAAGAAAGTTCACATCTGTTTTATTTGTAACATTAAAAAACTGGGCCTGTGAGAGGGATCCGGGAGCAGAAGGACCTGCTGAGTGTGAGGGTCTACACTCAGTCCCCAGACCCCAGGGTACAAGGAGAACATCTGCTACAGTTGTCCCTGACTTCCGTGCACATGCATGCAGACACACGCACAAAGTCAGCGAATTTAAAAGCAAGCTCTACTCTCCTGGAGGGCGGGAGCCGTGCTGGCAAGTGCTGCAGTGTGGCACGAGCGTGTGAGGAAAGTCAGAGGTGTGCCGGCCCTGGCCTGTCCTCACCCTCGTCCAGTGATGGTGGACATCCATGGTTCCCAGCATCACATGGCCCAGTGCGCTCATGCCAGAGCGGTCTGTAAACACGATGGTGCACCCTGATGGTAAAACACAAAGCCTCGGTTACGCCAGAGAATCCGTCCTTAGCACAACTGCAGGGAGTTACTTAGACTTGGTGCATACACTCGGGGTTAGAGCCAATACGCCCTACAAACCAGTATCGAGTTTCTGCTTTACTCAAAGGGATAGATTTAAACTTTTTTTCTGAGACAGAGTATCTCTGCATAGCACTGGCTATCCTTGACTCAAGAGATCTGCCTGTCCCTCTCTGCCTCTTGAATGCTGGGATTAAAGGTGTGTACCAATACGGCTCCCAGATTAACTCTGACAAAGTCACTGAGTTTTGTGCTACAGTTTTATGACCGTGTCCTGCAGCTAACTGATGTTCTGAAAGAGAGTGGACAATAATTACCTTTTGCATTCTGAAGTGGCTCCAAATTCTGCTGTGCTAGGCGGCTCAGACTATGCAGCTGGCTACAGCGGTGAGCAACTCCCCAGCCCCTCTGCCACCTGCACCAACAGACACACCATTAACAGCAGCACCTGGAAGGATCAGCGGGGGTCTCACCCCAACCACCTGATTCTTAGAAGGTCAACAGCCTCTTCCTGAAGAAGACACACACAATGTCTTAACTGATCTTAGATTTCCAAGATAGCTGCTGTCTCTCTTAAGTCCTTAAAGATCATCCCACTGTTGTCACTGCTTCGGTGCATGTGTGAGTGCATGCACACTTTTACCCGGTCAATCTCTCCTTCAGCCTTTGTTTTGAAACCTCTATGCTCTATGTAGCCCAGCCAGACTAGACCCCGAGGATTAGACATGTGCTACCACACTATACTTGTGTTAGGGGAGTTATAAACTTTTAAATTCATTATCGTGTAGGACGCATGCTGTATGTATGTAGACTGGGTGCTCTCCCTCCACCTGTGTGCGGGACTCTGGGGGTGGAGTCAGCTCACAAGATGGTCTTCCAGGGCACCATCTTGCCCCAAGTGACAAAAAGGAAAGAAAGGAGAAATATCAGGTGTGGTGTCTGAGTAAGAATGGGCCCTACAGGCTCACAGATATGAATACTTAGTCATCAGAGGCTGACAGTATTTGAAAGGATTAAAAGGATTAGACAGTCTTGTTGGAGGAAGTAGGGCACTGGGGTGGGCTTTAGGGTTTTAAATGCCCACACCAGGACCAGCGTCTCCTTACTGCTATTCTAGTGTCTGCCTGCTTGCACCATGACGCTGATGAACTAAGCCTCTGAACACTAAGTTAAGCGCTTTCTTTGCTTTCTTTATAAGCGCAGCCTTGGCCATGGTGTCTCTTCACAGCAACAGAGTAAGACTAAGACACAGGGTGAAAACACTGTTACTATGTCACTGTACGCAGAGATTAAAAAGCAAGTGTGTTGCTTCTGCTTTAATAAGAGGGTAGGGCTTGGAGCAGAGCTTGATGCTAGAGCATATACTTTGAGCAAGGACCTGGGCTCAGTCCTCAGATCACACACACACAGACACACACAAATAAAAGTTCAACTCTTAGGCCCAAAACATCAGAACTTAAATCTTACTTCTGTGTTTTAAACAAAGTCATCAGTGTTCTTACAAATATCATTGATGATTTTCACAAAATGCAATGTTGGATTATCAGAGGAAATTAAAGTTAAAGCGCCACATCCTTGAATACTAGAAAGAGTTAACACCAAGTAATTCCTGTACTTCCATGGCTGTTACACAGCCACAGATGGCTGTCTTCTGATCCTCCTGTCTCTGCCTCCTTAGTGATGGGATTACAGGGTGCACGACCATGCCCAGTGTTTGTGGTGCTGGGGTGAAAGCCATGGTCCAGTGCTAGGACCATGAGTGAGTGCTAGGCAAGCACTTTATTAACTGGGCTCCATTTCACTCCTGCACATTTCAATGTGTGTACTAGTGTGGAGGTCTGAGGACAATGGCCTCCATAGCTCGTGTGTCTGAATGGCTGTTCACTAGCAGATGCAACTATTTGAGAAGGATTAGGTGGTGAGGCCTTCTTAGAGGTGGTGTGCCACTGGGATGGGTTTTGAGATTTGAAAAGCCCAGGCCATTCCTAGTAAGTCTCCTCTCTGCCTCCTGGTTGTCATCTCAGCATCCACACTCAGCTCCTGCTCCAGCACCTGACTGTCTGCTGATCTGCTTCCCAGACGACGATCATGGACTCACCCTCTGAACTGGAAGCAAACGCCTGACTAGATGCTTTCTTTTGTAAGCTGCCTTCATCATGGGTCTCTACAGGAACAGGACAGCCACTAAGACTACTAGGAAATTTTCTTTATTACCTGATATCTGAAAGTTGCAGAAGCTCAGACAGCTCATTCTTCAGACGATCCAGCTCCTTCCTAAGTGGCAAACTGTTCTTCAGTTTTTTAACAGCATTTTTCCCATTGATACCTAACCAGGACCTAGACCCAAAACAGACAAACACTTTACATTTCTACCAGTACAACACACACGTGGCTGGGGTGTAGGTCAGTGGGAGAGTGCATGCCTAGAACAAGCAAGGCCTTAGCTCCATCTAGGACTTGCAGACAAAACAAAAACAAAAAGAAAACAAAAAACAAACACCATCAGTGCCAAACACACACTTAGACCAGTCTGCTGTTAAGCTGAGTTTTCAATCAGAAACTCAGCAATTAAGCTGAGTTTGTCTATGCAACAGAGCCCTGGCTATCCTGGACTCACTCTGTAGACCAGGCTGGCCTTTAACTCAGAGATCTGCCTGCCTCTTTCTCCCCATTGCTGGGATTAAAGGTGTGAGCCATCACTGCCCAGCTCAGACATTTATTTCTAACAAGCCTACTTTAAGACACTGCCAAGCCTTGCTGAATTATGTTACAGTTATGGTAATTTCTATAAGGATTGCAAAAAAATTAAATTTTAATAGGTCCAGGCCTGTTCCCAGTTCTAGACATGAAACAATCATGAAGAGCATGAAGATTCTTCTCAGGGTCTGTTTACTGGAGCACCCTGCTGGCTGTGTGAGCTCTTCACTCTGCACAGTCACACAACAGGAGAGGGCAGAATGGAGAAACATGCAGCAGGTGAGCCAGCGTGGGGCACCCCAGCTGTGAGACAGACACACTGAGGGATGTGTCCGAGGAAGGAGCTTCAAGACTGCTTGTGGAGTCTACCCTGGCACACCTAACTGTGCTGCTAATTTTAATGCTAGGTTGCAATGCGCTATGCTCTCCAAGAGCGCTCCTTTATCTCTCTGCTCATTCTGCCAGACTGCATCACTCTAGCTCTTTACCAGAGTTCACAGAGCACATCCAGGTGGGCCTTTCTCTCACCCTGAAGGTCTGTTTCTTCTCGTCCACCCAGCTGAAGTCTTGTCTCAGCTTCATCAACTACACAGTAAAACAGGCTCAGTGGGAAAGACACTCCCTTAATCTTATTTCTTAGAATATTTTCCTCAATACCCTTATAGGGGAAATGTTAAAGAATGTGTTAAGGATCAGAGTGGGTAGCTGTTAGGAGGGGCTGCATTGCAGATTGCACAGCACAGCCTTCCCATAGCCAAGTAAGAGGAGAGGGCAGGACAGTGAGAGCAGGAACCCTGAAGGTGAGCTGCAGTGCAGACCCGGTGCCTCGGAGCTGACGCTACCATTATGACGCCTGTTCTCCTGTTTCCTTCTGTTCTGTTTTCAGACAGGGTCTCACTAGTTACCGGGCGAGGCCAGAACTCACTGTGCAGTCCAGGCTGGCCTCAGACATCCAGCGATCCAGCTGCCTCACTGGCAGAGTACTGAAATTAAAAACATGTCACCATGCACAGCCTGGAGCCCAGTTTTCTTAGTGTTCTTCCACTGAGCTGCACGTCCCACCTCCGTATTTACTCGTAGTGTTAAGTTCTGGTGATTAGAGGTGTTGGGGAAGTGCTCAGTGATGATGGACACACTGCCTGCTCTTGAGAGCTCACGATCTAGACAGTGAAATAAGGTCTACCATATTAAAGATGAGAATTTTATTGAATATTTAAATGAAAAGATTATTAAAAAGCAGCTTATACAGAAGCCCTGAAGAATATCACTTAATTATCTTTTTCTGGTTTCAGTCTAATTTCATTATTTTGCCTTCGTTCTGGGTCCTTGGGACAATCTTTAAACAATGGCTGTTCACTCAGCCGAGACAAAAATTGTCCCCTATAAAACACTCCATATGGACTTCATGCTTTCTGAAACTCTTTAATGTTTGGCCCTTAAGACCCCTCGCCTGAGCAAGGCCCAACACCATCATTTTTCTTTTTTTTTGTCTTGACATAAGCAACTTCATTTTTTCTATATCCTTTAGGCCGATACTCCCAACACAGAGGTCAGGGTAAGCAAACAGCATTCTCTTAAGGGATGCTCAGATTTTTGGTGGCTGCAGCAGGTGCTGAGTGCACACTCACAGCTTTCTACGGCACCATCCTCTGGACCACACCACTGCTCTTCCCTCCTACCCTCACTTCCTGTTGCCTCATACTTCTGCTTGCTCACTAAATCCTCACTGTCCAATCTCCATCTTCCTCCAGCACGCTTGCAGAGGGAAATCTGAACGATGGGATACACTGTTAAAAGAGAGGAACCTACTAGTCATGAACACAGGCACGTAGCACAGCTAGGCTCCTGTTCACATGCATGCCTGCCTTGGTCACACAGTTCTTTCTGCTAACTCCCTCTTAACCTCGGGGATGTAGCGAGATGACCAGAGCTCCCCCATTAGAGCAGGTGACACACAGGAGGTTCAGTGGCAGTGGAGAGCTAAGGCTAATGTCCTAAGTTACAGCCAGTCAGCCACTGGCTTCTTTGGATACAAATTCTGAAGCAGAATGGGACTGTCTTTAAGGAGACTACTCAGAAAGAAGGAAACAGCATTTGGCTTGGGTGGGTGTGAGGGCATATGCCTTGAATCCCATTATCAGAAGATAGAGGCAGAGACACCTCTGTGAGTTTAAAGCCAGGCTGGTCTACATACATAGTAAATTCCAGGTGATAACTTGTCTTGAAAAACAAACAAAACAAAACAAACCACAAACACAGGCTTATACAAAATTACTAAACTGGCATGTTGAAATAACCAATGCTACCACCAGGAGTGGTGGCACACGCCTGTGATCCCAGCACTCGGGAGGCAAAGGCAGGTGGATCGCTGTGAGTTTGAGGCCAGCCTGGTCTACAAAGTGAGTCCAGGACAGCCAGGGCTACACAGAGAAACGCTGTCTCAAAAAACAAAACAAAACAAAACAAAACAAAAAAAACAAAACAACAAACCAATGCTAATATTTTGATAAGTATTATTTGCAAAATATATTTTATAAAAATGGGCTCATATTATGCAATGTTTTACAATCAACTTTCTACACTTAACATTATGTTTTGATCATCTGTCCCAATCAAAAAACAAGTACAAAATCATGAAGTTATCAAAACATTAATGGCAGCTTACTAAACAAAGCATGCCAAATCTCAATCTCTCCCTAGTTTGTTTTTTTTTTTTTTTTAAGATGAGGTTTCTCTGTGTATCTTTGACTGTCCTGGACTCACTTTGTAGACCAGGCTGGCCTCAAACTCAGAGAGATCCGACTGCCTCTGCCTCTCTGAGTTCTGGGATTACAGGAGTGTGGCACTGTGCCTGGCTAAAAGACGTTTTTTAAAAAATATTTATTTACTTATTATTATTATTAATTTATACTGTTTTGCCTGCATGTATGCCTGCACATCAGAAGAGGGCATCAGATCTCATTATAGATGGTTGTGAGCCACCATGTGGTTGCCAGGAATTGAACTCAGGACCTCTTTAAGAGCACTTAGTGCTCTTAAATTCTGAGCTATCTTTCCAGCCTGCCAAATATTTCATATCCATTTTTTTTTTTTTTTTGAGACAGGGTCTCATTATGTAGTCCTGGCTGGCCTGGGAGCTCAACTACATAGACCAAGCTGGCCTCGAACTAACAGACATCCTCCTGCCTCTGTTTCCCAAATGCTGAAATTAAAGAAAAGCACTACATACCATACTCAAAATATCTAATTTTTATAATTGAAAAATACTCTTTTTTCAGTCATCTGTTGAAGATGATACTTTAGAAGGCCGTTGGTATGGCTGTCTGCTTATCCTGAGACAGGGTTCATTAGCCCAGACCAACCCGTGTTGGTCTTGATCCCCTCATCTTCCTAACTACTTTCTAAAGGCTGGATCACAGCCATGTGCTCCCACACCTGGGCTATTTTCTGTAAGTATGGATTATTAAAGTTAATCACCTCTGAATCTCCAAATAGACTGGAAATGTCTAACATGTAAAGAACTGATTTAAAGAATTTCAGTCTTTTGCATGTATCTGGTATTAATCAATAACAAAAAAATTGGAAGTGTTTTTGGAACTTTAAGCAAGAAACATGAAATATATTTTCTCATGGTTTCTACATCAAATATATTACTAAATTTTCTTTTCCTGAAAAACCAGAACTACATTTAAACACAAACGATATGAGGTTGTTTACATAAAACCTTTTACTTACGTTAAGGTTGTTCCCACTTTTGGGACATGTTCAAGGTCTTCGTCAGGGTCCTTGAACCCCGTAAAGGAATAATAGGACCTATGCCATTTGATGGGTCTGTCAGGCATCCCTGTAGCTTCCTTGAGAGGCTGGGAATGCACACTAGTGTTCAAGCTTTGGACGTGCTCAACAGACAAACTGCAGGAGTTGAGAATATACAATACTGTGCTTAGCAGATCGCTGGTGTGCAAAGTAAATCTGACTGCTCGAAATCCTAGAGAATATAATTCCCCAGACAGTTAATACAGGCGATTACTGCTTTACCTCAGAACCATTTCTCATGAAACAATCATAAAGTTATAATCTTTAGAAACATTTTTACCCATGAAAATCTCCCCATTGGTAAATCATCAGCAAATGGAAAAACACTTCCTCTTCCAAACTCTACCGAAGTATTTTCGGCTCCATGGATTCCTTCCTATGTGGGCACCAGGGAGCACATTCATCCCAGCTGTGAAGGGATGGAGACCATTTTCAGTACTGCCTGTAAATCTTGTCACTAAAGAGAGAATGTGCTCCGTGCCCACCACCACGTTTCCAGCAGAGGAAGGGTGCACGGGACACCTGCATTGGCAGTGCATGCCAGGGAAGGCCCAGGCTAGCAACCTGCTGTTGGTGGTCACAGACGTCCACAGGACACAAACTTTTCAAATTTTATTTTGTGTGTGTGCATGTATGCATGCATGTATGTATGTATGTACATCATATGTGTGCCTGGTGCCCAGAGAGAGGGAACAAGAGGGTGTAAGTTTGCCATTGGAATTGGAGTTACAGGTGGTTGTGAATTGTCCTGTGGGTTCTTGGAATTGGACCCAGGTCCTCTGGAAGAATAGCCAGCGTTCTTAACCACTGAACCATCTCTCCAGGCCCAACCCCAATTTTTAAAAGTAGCCTGAAAATTACACAAGGGGGGAGCTGGAGACATAGTTCAGTGGCAGAGTTCCTGCCTAAAGGGCATGGCACTTTATGTTTCTATGTTTCATTCATAGCCCTGACAGAAAATAAAATTCTGTTAAGTATTATGAGTTTTTAGACAAGGTCTCACTATGTGGCCCTGGCTGGCCTAGAACTCACTCTGTAGACCAGGCTGGCCTCAAACTCATAGATAGTTACTTGCTTTTTTCTGCCTCCTGCGTGATGGGTTTGAAGGTGTATGCTATCACTTTGGACCACAAAAAAACTCTATAAACACTTGCTCATTGTAAAGTTTCACACACACACATATGAGCAAAAGTCTGCTAACAGGTATACAATCGCATACCTTTACTAGACAAAACCACTGTTAACAGCTGTACAGTCTTCCAAAAACACGTGTTAATCACACAGCTAACCGTGCACATGTGACCAGTCACAATGAATTAGCTAAAACTAAGCTGGGCATGGTGGTGCAGGCCTGTAACTCCAGCTCTTGGTGGAAGCTTATCCTTGGCTACATGGCGAGTGTAAGGCCAGCCTGGAGTATCTATGAAACTTTTTCTCAAAACAATAAAAACCAACCCTCCCAAGCCTACCATCACCACACCACCACATTTAACTAAAATTTAGAATCTCTCTTAGAATCCCATGAGCAGCCATTCAAATACCCAGCAGTTACGGGGCTAGTGCTTGCTCTATGTGAGGGCTCACCTGCGGAATGCTCTTCACGCAGGCTCTCTTGCACAGGGCTGGTCTAAGCCTTCTCTCTGTGCTTCTCTGAACTTTATGACAAATGCTAATGTGTTTCTATAAACATACACACACTTATTTTGAATTGTTCCTTTTAAAGATGGTATCATTAGAATCTATTATTTGAACCTTTTGTCACTTAACTTGGTGACCCTTTGATGGACCAGCTTGGCTCCATCTGAAGATTAAAAGCCATCTTGTTACGGGGCCAAAATATGTTCATTCTTGTTTTCTCTAAAACTTGAATTCGACCCAGTTTCTGGACTTTGACATGTCCCACACTCTACACAACGACTATTCCCTGACTCTGCCCTCCTAAGATGTCTGCCAAGTAAATTTGAGATGTTCAGCTAACTTCCTACATGACCACAGATCCCTCAAGCCTTGGAAAGCATTGCCTTGCAGTCTGGGGCTCTATAACTCCTACTTTCTCCTGTGTTCAAGGCTATTCTTCAAACCGCTGTAGAAAATAGAGCTTGGAGGTCTCTACTCTGACTTGGTGGGTCAGTGACTTCCACTTCTGTGTGCAGAAATGAGCCTTATTCTTTCCAGCAGCCACATGCTGGTTAGTTTAATAAGCACAGCGTGGCGTTTCTTGCTCCCAGTGGCGACGGGCCTGAAAGCCATCTTCAAATCTGCATGTGAGATGGAAGTGTACTTTGCTGGCCTGGCCTGACTTCCCTCCTTATGGCTGTGTGTGTTCACATGTGCACTTTCTTGTCCGCACGTGGCACAGGGCAAATCAACTCGGGCATTGCTCTGCCACTGTCCACCTTATTTTGAGGGATCTAGGTGATCCCTTAGGGGAAGCTGGGCGGCTAGTGGGCTTCAGGGATCCTCTCGTTATCTGTTTAGTGCTGGGATTACAAGGCATGCTGTCACAGCATATGTGTGTATATGTGTGTGTGTGTGTGTGTGTAGGTTGCTGGAGACTGAGTTCAGGACCTTACTCTTATATGGTAAGCATTCTGCTGACTGAACTATCTCCTCAATATTCCTGAGATATATATGTTCTTCTAAAAAAAAGTATTTATTTATTTTTCATGTGCCATGGTGTTTTGCCTACATGTATGTCTGTGTGAGGGTATCAGATCCCCTGAAACTGGAGTTACAGACAGTTGTGAGCTGCCATGTGGGTGCTGGCAATTGAACCCGGCTCCTCTGGTAGAGCAGCAAGTGTTCTCAACTGCTGAGCCATCTCTTTAGCTCCCAGATGTGCATTCTTAATAAGAGCCAGTGCTTAACTCATTCTTGCAGATATATTCTGCATGACACATACATACACGATACAGAACATGTAAAAATAAGGTTTTTCCTTTGGTTTTTCAGGACAGGGTTTCTCTGTGCTGCCTTGGTTGTCCTGGACTCACCGAGAGCCACCTGCTGAGTGCGGGGATTACTGGTGTGTGCCACTGCACCGGGCAAGAAATTTTCTTAACAGGATCATTTGACTGTAAAGTGAGGATTACTGGCAGGAGAAAAAAATCAAACTTTTTCCTTGAAGGTCAGGAAGAAGTAGCTTAGACTTAAACTAGCTAAGTTAATGCTTAGTAGGAATGCTGGAAGGAGCCTGCTGTCCGAGGTTACAGTCCTCCCAGTCGGGATACCATCCTGAGCTCCTCATGAAGGTGCAGGCCTCCCCAGCAGGGCCTCCTGCTCTCTGCCAGACTTCATGTGGAGAGTGTCTCTAGACAGATGTCCCCAACTACATTTGATATATGGCCTTTGACACAGCTCCATGCTAGCTCGCTCCTCCCGGTGCCTATAGGATAATTAGGTAATATGTTCCCATTCATATGATAGGAGTGTACTGTTTAATGCAAGTCAAGCATCCTTGAAGTACCTAGTTCCAACCAATTATGTACTCCTATCCTTGGAGCCCCCCCTCCCTAAGGGGTTGTATAGCCTTTGCTCTCTGGAGTTAAAATTGAACTAGCTCCCTGCAGTGGTTCCAGGAGTGTCTGCTCCCCTCCTGCCTTTGTGTGCTGGTAGGAAAGTGCCCCCAGGCAGGAGGAGAATCCCACAGCACTCAGGAGGCAGAAGCTGGAGGACTCTCTGTAAGAGAATCTACTTGGTCTACAGAGCAGGGCTGGGGAGAGTGCTGGAGAGACAGATTCCCAGAACCCACATGGTGGCTTATAACAATCTGTAATTCCAGTTCCAGGGTATCTGATGTCCCCTTCTGACCCTGACCCTAAGTGTGTGTGTATGATACACAGAAATACCTGAAGGTAAAAAACCAAAACAAACAACCAAACAAAAAACAACCAAACCAACCAACCAACCAGATTAAGTCTAGTTGGCATGGTGGCACACACCTTTAGTCTTAGCACTTAGGAGGCAGAGGCAGGCGAGGCTGCCAGCCTGGTCTACATAGTGACCTCCAGGACAGCCAGGGCTGTTATCCAGAGAAACTTTGTCTTAAAAAACAAAACTGAAACAAACAAAAATGAAATCTAATAAAAATGTTAAACTAAGTCAGATAAACCGTAGTTTCCATTTTAGCTTATAAACTCTGATCACTGAGTCTACCTCACCCCGTGCGACAGGACATGCCCTTTAGTTCCTTAGGGTTCCTCTGAGAATAACAGTTTTGCTGTTTTGGGTATGATCACTATAAGGTACACTCTAGATGTTTATGTGAGATTGGAAAGAATACCACTCCTTTGTAAAGCACATGTGAGACCCTGGGTTCAATCCCCAGCAGTAAAAAGGAAAAGTTTGTGAATTTACACAGCCCACCACAGAGCACCCCTGCCTCTCGTTCTCTCTCTCTCTGTCTGGACAGGGTCTCACCATGCAGCTCTGATCTGGAACTCACTAGTATACCAGGCTGGCCTCTCCTCCAGTGTGGGATGGCAGGTATGAGCCAGCACAGCTGGCCTGCAGAAACACTCGTGCCACAAACAGACAATTATCAATGTAAAAAGGGCAGCAGAGGGCTGGACAAAACCTGACTGTTTCCGTTTGCTTTTTATTGTTATCTGAGTTACATCCCATCTTATAAGGCAATCTGATTTCTCCTGGTATATGAAATGCTTTACATATTAATACTATCTTTTAAAAATCATGCTTTTCCCATTTCCAGTTGAATTCCTCTCTTTACCTGTTCTTGCTATGAATAGTTAGTGAACCAGTTAATCCTCCTGACAGGGCAGGCCTTTTGGACTGCGCAGCCGGGCCACAGATGCTTTCTTAAGCATTGATTCGTAGACATTCTCAGTGGATTCTCTCCTTCTAATGCTTATTTTGATAATAAAGTTCACTTCCTCTTGGACCAAAAGTACCTAGAGCTGGAAACATGACTTTGGCCTTTAGGAAGTTAATGTATTGCCATGAAATAAGGCATCAAAGCAGACAGGGGCTTATTGAACGAGGCTCTGTGGAAATGGCTGGGGTGGGAAAGAGGATCAGTGGTTTGAAATGACCAGAATGCATTATATATGCATGAAATTGACAAAGAATAAAAAGTCAATGTTAGTAATGTCAAACTGTTAATGAAAATTCAGTAGTGAAAAAGAACAACTTTAATTTAATAAGCCTTAGTTCCATAGTGGTCCTCCAAAAATGGTAGTGCTGGTAACAATGTCCTGAACAGAAGGACTGACAGGTAAACAGAAGGATTGTTACTAGGTAAACAGAGGGAATCTTTTAATATAGGTTTCTGTTTACAAGACCTCCCTTAAATCCACCCCAAAAGTCAACTACCTCAGGCAAGTGCATCTAGTCTCCAGTTTCTCTGAACAGCCTCAGTTCAGTGGTTCCATGGTATCCTCCCTTACAACAAGCAGATAAAAAAGCTGAAGAAAATTGGGCATGGCAGTGAACACTATGGATCCCAGCACTTGGGAGGCAGAGCGGGCAGATCTCTGGGAGTTTGAGCCTGGTCTACATAGTAAGCTCCAGAATAGCTAGGGCTATGTAGACAGATCCTGTTTTCCCTTATCTCACCCCCCACCAAAAATACTGAAGAAATACAACTTTCAAATCTTTGCCACTGTTAATCTTTGTCATAAAGATAGAGGCTACGACTTACCTAGCAATAAATACTAAAGTGAGGCTATTTTCTATGAACAGCTAGAGAAGGTGAAGTTTGTCTCTATAAATCCCGTGTCTGGAGAAATCATGAATTCAGGGTAGGTCATCATGTAGAATGTGGTAGCTCCTGCTGTACCCTGATACTGAGTAGCAGAAACACTGACTATTAAATAGTTATGAGCATTCAGCCTGACATGGTAAACAATACATCTCAGGAGACTCTTAAGAACATTCATAATCATTTAAAAAACTTCTTAAACTTTAAGAAAGGGTCTTGCTCTGTAACCCAGGTTAGTTTGGAACTCATAGTCCTTCTTTCTTAAGTTCCCCACGCTGAGATTACTGGATCTACTGTTCCTGGCTGAGGCTATTTTGAATAAAACTCTAAGTCAGATGGAGAAACCACTGAGAAGAGAAATTTCTGACTTTTTATTTTCCCTGAGAAAATAAAAGACAAGAAAATACATTAGAGAGACTGGACAGGAAGCTGTCTTTAACACAAAATACAGAGGTTTTGTTTTATTTATTTATTTACTAAGGGAAGAGCCTGAATGCAGTCCCCTACTGTCACAAATTATGTGGTGATTTTCATGAATTTTGGGAAATCACAGGGTGAGCACACTCAGACTCAATGGATGACCTTCACCCTGAGAAACTACCTTCCTGATCATGGTGTTTCTCCTGGTTTTGTGACACAGCCTTTCTTTCCTTTCCATCTGAAGTCCTGAGGTACTGTGAGGAGTTTTCTACAAACTACTGCAATTCTCATTTTCATAATCAAAGATCAAGTCAGGAATCACGGGAAGAA